TATAAATTTTTCCGACATTTTAACCTGATATATGATGAAAGTAAATGAAACCCAAGAAAATATTCTGAAAAATAACAAATGTCTACAAAAATATAAATTCTTTCATCGAAAAAAATTAGAGGAAACTCAGCTCCAAAAAATAGAGGAGGCTCAGCCTCCCCTGCCTCCTCTGAGGAGCCGCCACTGATGTAATCTCTTTCTTGAATTATTAACGTATAGAGGATAAATAAGGACACATTGGGCAGTTGTTACAATAAATCATCAATGTTAAATGAAAGTACTGGGTATAACGACACAAGCAAAAATTAGAAGCTTTTGTACGTGATAATCAATAATAGATGGAATCATCAGAAAACGAATAAATTAACTTGGAACAAAATTGGTCTAAAATTATTTATGGCAAAACTTCCCTAGCACCTAAATTAGACATTTTATTCTAATTTTGTCACATTCTTTTCAATCCCTCAAAAAAAATTGCCCCCCTCCCAGATCCTTTCAAATTCTTTCAAAAACAAAACACTATGTTTCTTATACCTTCATAAAAAAAAAACATTAGAGACTTCCAAGATTCCTTTATATTTTTTGGAAAAACAAAATACTTATTTTTTTGTGATAGCTTCTATAAATTAAAAAAAATAGACAACAAGAGTCGGTCTTTAAGAAAAAAAGACTGGTTCCCATGTGCGCTTCGAACGCCCAGCCTGTATGTCTTGGTTAAAAATTTAATGGGGATTCATAAATTGCAAGTATAGGAATATATTATTTTATACAATATAAACTTCGTTTACTTAAAAAATTGGTGAAACACCTCCAAAAAAGTAGGTTAAAGGATATAAATAAGGGTTAGTTGTAATTCCACTTCAGTTTAGTCATAGATTGATATAGATGCGACATAGAGGCTGATTTTTGCCAAACCACCCTTATTGACATTGGGAGTCCTCAACCGCCAAAGACAAGCGCCAAATTTAAATAGTCAATGCCAATAAAAAAACTTGTTCCACTACAACTCGTCGCCTGAGAACTTGTTTGATCTACAGATCAGAGCGCGCTCAGGCCAATGTCGACTCTATGCGTTCAGGACCGATTTGGTGGGTTTGGACTATAATTTCTGCGGGAAATAGTTATTTATTCTATTTTGTATGAATTTTTAAATGTTTTTAGTGACAATTTTTGTGGTTGTTTTCGATACACTGTATGATATTAACAGTGAGAAAAAAAATGAAAAATTAAAATAATCGAAAATTCGAAAAATTGAGAAATCTAATAATCGAAAAATCGAAACCTTAAAAAATCGTAAAACCGAAACATTGAAAAATCAAAATATCGAAGAACTGAACATCGAAAAATGAAGCATCAGAAAATCGAAAACTCCCAAATTTAAAAAATCGGATAACTGAAAAATCGAAACATCGAAAAAAAGATCAAGAAATCGCGGAGTCGAAAAGTCGAACAATTGAGAAACCGAAATAGGCCAAAATTGAAAAATCGAAAAGTTAAAAATTGAACAATTTATAAATTGAGAAATTGACAATCAAAATATCGAAAAATCCAAATCTCGATAAATCGAGAAATCAAAAAACTTAAAAATTCGAAAAATTGAGAGATTGAAAGATCAAAGGAACGAGAAAGTGATGAAGTTGAAAAATTGGAACAGCGGAAAAATCAAAAAACAAAAAAATGGAAAACTGGAAAAACTGAGAAACCGAAATAGTCCAAAATAAAAAATTGAAAACCTGATAAATCGAAAACCTGAACAATCAAATTTCAATAAATCGGGAATGAAAAATTAACAAATCGAAAAATTGAAAAACAGAACATCTAAAACCAGGAAGTGGAAAAATCGAAAGATTAAGAAATATTGAAAAATTAAAATATCAAAAGATTGAAAAATCTAAAGTTTAAAAATCCAAAAATTGAAACATCGAAAAAATAAAAAGGTAGACACATCGAAAAATCCAGAAGTCAAAAATAGAAAAGCAGAAGAATTGAAATATTGAAAAATCCTAAAACTGAAATATCTAAAAACTGAAAAATCAAAAAAGTGAAGTCGAAAAATAGAAACCTTAAAAAACCGAAAAATTGAAAAATCAAAAAATTAAAGAACGAAGAACAGGCAAATCGAAACACTTGAAGGTCAAGAAATGGGAAAATCAAAACATCGATTAATTGAAAAATCGAAAAATTGAGAGTTTATGAAAGTCAAATTTGGAAAATTAAAAAATCGAAAACTTGACAAAATGACAATTGAAAAACAGAAATTCTAAAACCGGGAAGTCGAAAAATCAAACGATTAAGAAATCGAAACATTTGAAAAATTCGAAAACTTGAAAAATTCAAATATCGAAGAACTGAACTGACATCCAGAAATCGAAAAATCTGAAATTTTAAAAATTAAAAAATCTAAAATTTAAAAATCGAAAAATTGAAAAATCGAAAAAGTAAAATAATCGACACATCGAAAAATCCAGGAGTCAAAAATCGAAAAATCGAAGAATCGAAATACTGAAAAATCCCAAAACTGAGATATCGAAAAACTGAAAAATGAGAGAAAAACTGAAAAATGGAAAACCTGAAAAATCCGAAAATTGCAATATCCAAAAACGGAGAACCTAAAAAGTCGAAAAATTGAGCAATCGAAAAATCAAAAAAGTGAAGTCGAAATATCGAAACCTTAAAAAAATCGAAAAATTAAAAAATCAAAAACCTGCATAATCGTAAGATCGAAAAATTGAATAATAAGTAAACTGAAAAATCCCAAAACTGAGAAATTAAAAAACTGAAAAATTGAGAAATCGAAAAATCAAAAAAGCGAAGTTGAAAAATCGAAACCTGAAAAAGTAGAAAAATTGAAAAACCAAAAAACCTGAAAAATCAATTAATTGAAAAATCGAGAAATAAAAGTTTATAAAAGTCAAAAATTGAAAAATGGAAATATTTAAAAATCGTAAATTGGAGAGAAAAACTGAAAACCGAAAAACTGAAAAATTGAGAAATTGTAAAATCCAAAAATTGAATAATAAATAGGAGCAAATTGAAAAGTCCTCAAACTAAAATTTCGAAAAACTGAGAAATCGAAAGTTGAAACAGCAAGAAATTATGGTCGAAACCGGTTAGGATGTGTATCAGATCACGGACCATGGCTTATAAATATAAATCAAATCGTTTCCGAACGCTTAGAGTCGACATTGGCCTGAGTGTGCTCTGGTCTGCAGATCAAACAAGTTTTCAGACGACAAACTGTAATTCGTGTGACCTGAATTAAAGTGAAGGAAACAGTAAGTAGCTTGTAATTAATATTCTGGTCGAATTAATATATAAACGAGTCGTTAAAAATATTATGACATTTTTTCTATTGTAGTTAATTTTATTCCTAGTTAGAAACAAACACTGTTACCAACATAAGTCGAGGAGTCCTCGACCGTCATTTAATTTAAACTATGACGCTTCTCTATGTTCTCTGGTTTAGTTTTATGTAGACAATCCCAACGTAGTTGGCGAAACGCGTCGACAATTTTTTTTATGTCTTCAGTCTTATAGGCAATAAACATTATAGAACTTGATTTCCATTTATCTTACCTTGTTTTTCTGTTGGACTAAATATCTTTCGCTCCAAATAATTTTTAATTCCTATATCCGTGTCCTGCAATATTGTCAAAACTTTTCGCAGAATGCGTGCGCTGCCGCTGATATGTTAAACAAATGAAAATTAAGCTTGTCATCCGTTTTTTCATTGATAATAGTATTCAGTTACGTAAAATCATTACCGAAGTGTCAGATTTACGATAACCACATCATAGGTGACATGTCATAATTAAAAAAAAACGACTCAGCTGTTTCAGACAGGATGAGAGAACGTGCATGTTGAAGCTCGAATCGATAGTGACCGATATTTTAGCGGCGTAGTACCGATGAGAAAATTCCAGAGGATACATTTTTCAAACCTTCACCCGTTACAGTTTCACCAAATTTCGCAGACTGCACACGACAGTTGCTGACGAATGATTAATGTACAAACAAAGATTTACCTAACAATTTAATTTTAATATCATACTATACGAGTAATGACAATAATGTCACTGTGACTAAATAACTTTATTCAATATTTGTTGAAACATTCTGTACAAGCATTTCTAATAACAATAATAATAATGTAATATTAATAAACAAACGTATTTCTTTAATAATTTTTTGAAATGACGTCATCCACTTTCTGGAGGGGGTAAATAAGACCTGCAATCGCGAAATTACAAATTTGATTCTAAAATTTATTTTTCTCTGCGACAATATGCGTAAAGTTATAAATGTGAGTACTTAATTAAACTGCGTATAAAGGGACATGGCGCGCTATAAATTTCAAATGATATTTACTTCATAAAATTTTGAGAGACATCATCAGTTTCTCGAGGGAATGGGTAGACAACGTCTGTTTATGTTTTAGCTCCTACACGATGATCTTAATTTACGTCTAACATTTCATCGCAATCTGTTTCCTAGTTTCGGAGATTTTCTCTCATACAAAATCTCTCACAGACGCGAAACAGACAGAGGGGAAACGGGAGACCGATCCTTTTGTATTCCGTGAGCTGTGAAACATTGAAACAAGGGGAAATTACACATTTGTCAAAATTACCCTATTACAACACTTCCTTCATAATTATACGGTCGGGATGTAAAAAGACAAACATTATTTCAGACGTTTCATAGTTTGTAGAATGTGAAAATGTAGGTCTTCCCTGTGCTTTAGAAGCGATGGAAGTTCTGGTTAAATAACTTTATACCAGTTTTGTTATAATAAAATGGTAATCTTTAAGTAAAGTACTGCATTATTTGATTCACGTGACTAAAAGTAATTAAGTACTTACCGTTCATAATAAAAGTGACTCATCTTGTTAAAATTTATTACAGATTTAAAACGTCTCTAAATCATTGTGGTTTTTTATTTACATGAATAAAAATCTAACTTTCCTCACAAATTTTGCTAATTTTTATGAACAGAATCAAACTTATCTTCTTTAAAAAATTTATTCGCTTTGCTAAGCGTTAAAAACAACTGAAACACACCACTTTTTACAATTTCAAACTTAAATAAAGCATTCTTACAACTTTTATGTACAATGGGGTCGCTAAATTTAAACTTGGAGCTACTAATAGATTATCGGATTTGCACACCTAAAGCAGAGGCTGCAACTTTTGCGATTTCCTTGTGAATTATATTAACTTCAGATTGAATTAACGTTCTCTCCATGTGTCTATAAATAATTCTATAACAATGACTAGTTTTCCCTGTTTTAGGGTGTGTAAATTCATCTACTAAAACTACCTGCTCTATTATATCACCTCCTATGTTTCTCGCTAAATCGTAAAAATCGTTACTGGCGAATTCCTTATCTTGGGGTAACCAAAAACTTAAATCATTAACACACTGAGGAAACTGACTAACAGACTTATAAGTAACATTTTCATCACATTTAACTTTAAACTGATTCAAAAATCCAGTGTCCTGAGACCAGAAAAGCCGGATATCGGGAATCTTGTATAAACACATAGCAACTCTTTCAAGACCTATCCCAAAAGCCCATCCAATTCTATCCACAATTCCTGCATTAGTTAAAATTGGTTGCCTCATGATTCCACAGCCCAAAAGCTCCAACCAGTTGTTTTCGTGAAATACTTCTAGTTCCCAAGAAGGCTGAGTGAAAGGAAAATATGTATCAATCCACCTATATTCAATTTTTTCCCCAAACAATTGTTTCGCCAAGCCCGCCAGCGTCGTTTTTAACTCATGTTCCATCAACTTCACGGCTTCCAAAGTGTGACATGCTTGCTTTTGTTGAGTTCCTGTACTTTGAGTGTTATTGCCAACTTCGAATATTTGCAGAGTGTCATCTCTTGGAAACAATTCTTCCCGGGTTTTCAATCGAACTGCATCAAGTTGATGGAATACTGGATAGTGAGTTCTGTCAATTTCATCCCTTCTATATACATCTCCGACCATTATAAAATTATTTAACCCAGCTCTCATCAACTCTGACTGGTGCGCCGTCATATGAGCCCTTAGTAAGTAGTCTCTGTTTAAATAATAACAATCGGTTTTGGATCGTGACGGGTGGTCTTTCGGGGTGAGCAAACTGTCGAAATTTTGATCCAGGGAAACTATCGGTGATAGAGAATCATACACGGAAAAAAATGGGTTCCCACGCCGGTTGACGAAACGTTTGTAGAAATAATTGACCATTCGCTGTCGGACGTGGCTTAAAGGGTGATGTTCTTTGGTGTAAATATTGCGGCCCAAATGCGAAATTATTTTGTCTGTAACGTTGCTGAAGTCATCTTTGAGGTATGTGTTGTCTAGGAGTGTCACGTGCGACTGTATTTCTGGTTTAATCGACGAAGACAGCAATCTTATAATCTGGTAGTTGCTTATATTTTGAATTTTAAGCATTTTTGTTGTGGCCATAATTCTAACCTCAATTTCAAACTGACGTTAAGTAATGGAGCTGTCAATTCAATTGACAGTTGGAAGCGTTTTCTGGTGATAAGCCGGAGGCGTGTTGGTATTCCTACCGGGCGTTGACGTCATTGTAGGTAACGACTTTGACATAATGTAAATACGTAAATGTTGTCTTTAGGTGAAGGTGTCCTAATTATGTTTCGTAATAAATATCCGAACTCTTCGTGCAATTTGTTATTTAGTGATTAACGTAATTATTCATTTTACAGATTACAAGAGAAGTTTTTGCCAAATTTTGGATTTTTTAAGCAGCCTTATTTTTTATTGTACATTTGGTACTAGTTTAATTATTTAATATTTGTTTTTATATAAAATCAGTCACAAATGATATAAAAGTTGGGTCAAAAATTTAACGGACAGAAATTATGAAGATAATTAAAGCCACAGTTTTAACCAGTTTGTTTTTTACTCAAAATTTTTCAACTTATTAATATAGAATCAATCTACATAGTGCACTTTATACACATTTACTTTTCAAAAAAAAACAATGTTTATGAATTCATACAAAATAAAATTTTAGAGATAACAATGAGGATTAGATTTTTGAATACACAGTCTGTTATAGAAAATGACAAAGTTTCAGAGATTTATTATCGCTTTAAGACAGTAAAACATATTTGATTTTTATTCTCCACCATATTTAATAGTAATCCATGTCTGGTATTCTGAGGGCCTGTAAGTTACAAAAAGTATTGGAATAACTAGGTAAGAATTAGCTTTTAATATTTGTCATAACTTTTACATGTACAGCACAGATGGTGGAGGCGCCGGGTAATATTATGCCATTGCATTAATTACTTATGTGTACAGAAAAATTATCATTTTTAGGTTGTTATTATTATTTATTTGATATAGGTTATTTGGACATTAATTTGGGAAAAATTATGACTTAAGTAAGAGACTTTTTCGGTTATTCAATTAGAGGAAAAGAAAACGATTTTTTTTCAACTGGTTTATTACATATTTTAGAATAAAGAAATATTATTAATTTAATGGCTTTGTATTTACAAGAACTTTTGGGTTTGATATATTTTTAAACGAAATTAACTGGTGGGTGTAACTTAGGTAAATATATATTTTTATTTAATCCTCTTAAAATTTACACATTTCAAGAGGATTACATTTTTTGTTGAAACTTATCTCTGCAGAAATAATATATGTATGTAGTAGAGTTATTTGCAATGAAGACAGAAAAAGACAATGCACGATTTTGTATGCAGAAATAATATTACGGGACTTGTTTTGTGTAAAAAACCTTTATGTAGCAGACAGTGGACTATGATATTTTTCTTCCAAATCGGACTCCAAAACTTGTTCTATTAGCGCTATCTGTAACTACTCTCATATAAATAAAATACCAAATAAAATTACAAAATAAGCTCTAATATTTCAGACATTATAGTCAATGCTGCAGCAATGAAATGTATATCCTTTCCAAGTAGCAGCCATCCGACTTTTTCTTAGTCTGCGCATCGATAACAGATTGAGTGAAGGTCATCGACTTCCCGGCTGTTCCCGGTACGTCGCGACGCCTCGGATCCATTGTGAATTAACAAAGCAAGCGAGCTGGATAACAATCTCTGTCAATCGAGAAAGATGTGTGCGGTATGCAACAAAAAAAGAAGAAGAAATAAAAATCTAAAAATAATTTCCTGTGGCATAATTTTAATCACTATGTTTGTAGAGATCTGCGCCTGATCGACTATCCGCGGCGCTTTGTCCAATCACAGCCAGTTTCCTGTCTTAAATCTGCGTTTTTATTAAAAATGCCGAGGAATCAGCCTCAATATGCTGCTTTTTTACACTGACGTATATGATTACGTATGAAAATAAAAATAGGTCTTCCGTTTCCCGCTATCTGTCCTTGAAACTAGCGGACTGCTGTGAAATTTTGTGTGTTAGGAATAAATATTGTGTGAATCAAAATTTATCTGATCTTCCCCAACAACAATTTGCAAAATTTTGCATGGTAAATGGTATTAAATTTTATAAAAAAAACATATTTCCATATCTGAGGTTTACGAATCCGACTTTATTTTTTACTTTAGAGATCAGATATAGCTAGTCATTCTTATGATGACTAAGTAAAAAGAAGTGTAGAAGTATGGGTGTTAGAAGGTGTAAAAAAATTATGGAAGAAAATCCGTCCACATCAATTCAAACATGCATTTATTTTGTTGAGACGTCCCTTCACCCGTTTAAGCTTGGTCTTTGGGTGACTATTTCAAGAAAACTTACCAACTTTAGTTAGCACCGAAAGGCTCTCATTTTTATGTAAAAGATTTTTGAAATTTTTCAATTTTGTCTCAATTTGGTGCGTTTCTAAGTCTTCTAATTGTTTACTTCAGTGTAGTACGAATACTCCAAGATTTTTCAAACAGAGAAATATTTAGTGTCTTTTTAAAATTTGTTTGTCAAACAATAATTTAAAAGCAGTTTAACTAAAAATTATAATTAAAAATTTCTCAAAATATAAATCACAAATAGTAAAAAAATCGTCATTACTAGAACTGTGTGAATATTTGCTTTTGACAAAGATTATTTTGTGCTAAGAAGTTAAAATATTTCTAGAAATATGTGGAAACAGTGTTAAACACTTTTATTGCCCTCGTAATGGGCCATAAATACCCTTATAATGGTAATAAAGTATACCAACGAAAATACAATTTTCCGAACCCCCTCATTTATGAACACACCATAAATGCCTCTAAGAATAAGCCGATTCTATTGAGGAATAAACAAATACAACAAAACGTCGCTTTTAATTTTGGTATGGTGTCATAAGTTTCCATCTAATACGCTGCATTATTTGTTGAAAAATGTGATGGAAAAGTCAAAATCGTAAAATCACTCTTATCGTTGGTACACTATACGACGGAAATTTCTTTTTATTATTAGTAGTAGTAAATGAAATTATTTGAAACAAACGACTTGGAAATGCAGTAAACTTTGCATTTATCCCGAAATATTCATTTAATTCCAAAGTAGACATATTAGGAATATTAATTCGGTCTTTATTCTTTAGTAGATTCATATTGTACTTTTTTTTTTCTTTTTAACTTTGTCACTTCCAAATGTAGACGGTTCTGAGTGATCTTTAAAAAATAAGTCTCTATTTAACAAAATATTTAATAAATTTATAACTATTCGATATAAGTAGTTGACACAGCACACAAGTTGGAAAAGAAATAAGAAAACATGTAGGGTGTTAATAAATTATGTACACCTGGTGGACTGTGAAATTCGTTTATTAACGTCCGCTTTATTTGACTGTCTGCCAAATTAATTAATTTGTCAATTAGGTGTCAAAGTTTGAATGAAATTTTAACGTTTATTCCTTTAAATCACAAAGATAGGGGAGAAATGTGGATACTAATAGAAGAAGATAAATTTATTCTCGGTTTGGCCAAGCGATTGATTAAGAATGCAATATTCAATTTAAGAAAAATTCATTCATTTTAACTTTTTTTGAAATACTCACCAGGAGTACAAAATGACTTATCTTTCTATTTGGGGTTTTTGTTAGATTCAAAAGCTTGCTCAACAATGACGCGTTAAAACAAGTGTGTTTTAAATATGAGTAACAAAAAAGAGAAAGAAAAAAAAAGAAATATGGTGTACTATTCCAACAAATTATGTCCCTCTTCCTGCCATAACGTCAGAATTTGTAGACCTTCCGTTCCAAGCAGCAGCTTCTCGATGCTGATAAACACATGAGTTTTTTCCTAGTCTGCGCGTCGATAATATATTGGGTGAAGGTCGTCGACTTTCCGGCTGTTCCCGGTACGTCGCGGCGCATCGGATCCATTGTGAATGTAAAACGGGGAATTGTGGGAGTCGACGGGATCGGGATAAGAGCGGCTGTCAATCCACAGAGGAAGTGCGGCGGTGTGTGCGGTAAAAACCCGAAAAGCGTCTCCTATGCCGTCATCTTAGCCGTCGAGTGCGAGATGTTCACGGGAACCGTCCGCATCAAGCTGTGCGAAGCCCGGGAGCTGCGCCCCACGGACTGCTCGCGCCGCTTCGGCAAGGACGACCAGCTGTTGAACCCGTACGTGAGCATCGACGTGGACGACACCCACGTCGCCCAGAGCACCAGCAAGCCCAAGACGCTCAACCCTGTCTGGAACGAGTACTTCGAGCACGGCGTCGTCGACGCCAAGACGCTGACCATGACCGTCTTCCATTACGCCGCCATCGGGGAGTCGGACTTCGTCGCCAACTGCAGCCTCCCGCTGGAGGACCTACGCGACCATGACAAGGACTTTTGGGTAAGGCGTCGCGACGCTCGCCGACGACCAGGCAAAATTGCGCAAAACCGACGTCGTGTAAATAGCTGAGTGTTTACATGAAAGCCAATATTGATTTACTGCACCCTAAAACTGTGGAACGAGGCAGCGGTGATGGTGATGGGCTATTTTTGGAGGGTTTGAGGTTAGGTTTTTATTCCGATTTCGATGGGTTCGCTGTGGCGGCTGGAGGATGGGTTGAGGCGATCGTCAGCTTATCGGCCATGTTTATGTGAGAAGGATCGAAATTCGCGACTGGACCTGGAAGTGCTTTCCTTGCGCATTTTTTACAACGGGATTCAAACAGGAAATTCAATATTACACAGATAAGATTACTAAATACTACATCTACATACCAAACAAATTTACTACAATTTCAAAATCGTCGTTCTTATCTAAAACGGTTCATTCAATTTTTCTCGAGAGGAGAAATTCCGATTAACTACAATTCTAGAGAAACGCAAAATAAACATTAAAAAAAAATTTCAAACAGAAAATTATAACATGGTATATTTATCTTTAGTTTAGTAATTCGAGAATTATTCAAAAAAATTTGCTATCATGGGGTAGGATCTAACTGCATGTATGTGGAGGCGTATCTTTTAATAAAGATTTATTTAATGATTTTTTGAAATGACGTCATCAACTTTTTGGTGGGAATAAATATATTAATGTCGATATATACAGTGTCACAGTAATCACAACGTAATTGTCTACCATAATTAGATGAGCCACTTCTGAGACAATCGATAAAGTAAATCGGTTTATCCCTGATTTTTATTTTGAGATTGCGTCATCAAATTTTTTAGTGTACCTATTTAAAATTTTCGGGAAAAATAATTTCCCCAATAAAGCAGTTCAACCATGAATCCAGTAACAAGGTGTCAGGTATGTAGTTCGTGAGCTAAATCGAACATTTAACAGTAGACGTAAAGTTATATACCTACACTACACATTTTAAGTGAGACCTACCTAAGAAGCATTTGATGATGTTATTAATTCTTATATTTTGCTCTTTTTTTTCTAATATACGTATTCTTCTTTTCATAACAAGAAACTTAAAATGTGCTCAAAATGGTAAATTTTTGCAGGGAAATATGTATTCTGCAATTACGCTCCGCTTCTCGGTCTAAAATGAACGAAAAATTCATCACAATTTTTTTTCTTAAAATAAGTATATAGTTTTCTTTGAACAACACGGTAGTCAAACATGTTTTCAATTTCTTGTGGGGAAAAGAAGACTTCGTATATTAAGAAAAAATGGATATAATTTTAGCCCCGCCAACCTACCCCCTCTCAATTGTGATGATTTTATTACTCATCGTGAGCCGAGGGGCGGAGCTTAGATGCAAAATCCTCATTTCTGTACAAGAAATTACCATGTGAAATATGTTTTTAAGAGGGTAAAATGTTGTAGAGAATATAGATTTTGCAATTAAACTCCGCCCCCAGTCTGATGACGAATGAAAAATTCATTAGAATTGAGATCGGAGCGGGTGGGTGGGGCTTAATCTTTGGCTTTCTTTTTCTAGTACATATGATTTTCTTTCAACAATCTTTTGGCACAGAGAACAAGAGATATAATAAAAAAAAACTTAAAGTCAATGTATTATTCAATAATTTTGGATTGTACTCCTGATGTAAGCCACGTAGACCAACTTTCAATCATTGCACGGTCTGTGAACATTGCAGAAAATTTGATAAAATTTAAAAGGGAAAGGAAAAATAAATTTGATGGAGAAAAATAAAGAAATATATTTTTGTAAAAGGTGATGAGCATTTTGTGAAAAAATATTTTCAGTAGACAGATTACAGAGAGGCAGATGGAAACGTGAAACCTTACCTGAAACTCCAACATAATCAAACATTCGTCAAAATGACTATTGACTACATCATGTTTCGTTTTAGCTATTTCTTTTGAAGTTAAAACAGTAAGTATAGGGTATATGATGTCCAATGGCTGAGGCAAAAATACGTTCATGCAGCTTAATAGAACTGTGTATCTATAACCTGAAATTATATATGAAACAGCATAATATTTTAGTTAGTAGTGTTGAAAACAATAACAGCTATGTATAAAAACCATCGTATTTAAAAGTTAATCTTTCCACCATTTTTACTTCCTGAAAGTAAGCTAAGGAAGTATAGCAATCGAGTCCATCGGACGAGTTGTTACTTTCATGTTTTCTCGAAGTTTCATGACCCTTAGAGGACGAAAAAAGTGATTTCCCCTTTCCGTCTATCTATCGTATGTCTGTCTGTCCCTGTGTGTGTGTCATAGTTGTAAAAAAAAACAATTTTTTTTTGTTAAATGGGTTCATTTTTTTGTTTTTCGGGTTTTTTTTATTGTTATTGCAAACATTTAACAGTTTTATTAATTAAATAAGTAGTTAAAATATACTTTTTTCCGTAAACTAGCAAGTATGTGTTATTTAATAGTCAAGGTTTCCTTAGAAATTTCAAAAATTTTAAAATTTGCTATTTATAACCCCACAATTTTTAATAGAGACTAAAACAAAGATATTATTGAATAAGTAAAAAACTTCCTTGGATTAAAACAAATAATTTCGTTGATATGTTTTATGGTATTTATATTATGGTGCAGTTGTTAACATCAAATTGGTTACTTATTAAAAAAATTTCTAAAAAAATTAATTTATTTACAAAAACACGTCTCATGTTTAAAAAAAAAACTTGTTTTAAGACAATTAAAACAAACCGTTTTTTATTCACTAATAAGATCTGTAGTCTGCTGTCTGTGTCAACGTTTTAAGGTTATTGTAGTCATGATAAATCGTTAATCAAAATTTATTCGTTTACCCACTCCCAAAAAATGTATGACGTCATCTCAAAATTTTGCTTAATACATTCTATCTGAAATGTGCTAAACGATTGCATAAATAGAATTTTCCAAGATTGACAACAATTTGAGATAACTTCAACTTTATATGTATTAGGGGTCGCCTATTCCTATTTCTATTCGCGGACTGCTAATTATAGCAAAGCATTTTGCTCCCCCTGGAAGTTAACCAACCTAGTTAAAGATATTTGTAATTTCGAAAACACTTTCGTTAGTCTGCTTTATAAATACCGAGACTATTAATGTTTTTGATTTTTTGTCAGGTTGGCAACATATTTAAAATTTGATGTTGGCATATCTGATGTCAAATTCAAATTTGGGGCACTAATTTAGTAGACTCTAAGAACAAGACTGCGTAGAAACACAAAATCGGTCGGGCCAAGTTCAGTTTCAAATTTAAGGGGTGCACTTTCAGAGGCGTCCGTCATCGTTTCTCTGTCATAGTGAACTTTTTTAGCGTAAGGGTACCAGATTAGTGCCTAATAGATTCATTCGCATTCATGCTAGCGTGTTAAACGGTTCACTTAAGTCTATGTTTCCATGTGTTATTGTTTGCGATTTAAAAAAAATGACAAAATAAATTTTAAAAACCATCCCCTTCTAAAGTGTGCATGTTACGCTACTGACTCACAGTCCACTGTCAGATTCTGATGACTCACCATGTTGAACTTAAAATGATCCATCTGTAGCTGCCATCTTCTCATTGATTCTTAGCCGCGCTGATGTCAAAATTGACAACTGTGACGTGTTAACAGTGCTGCCAATAATTCAGAATTGCCAACCCAAAAATTTGTTTCAATCATTAATAGTTGCCCGGTGCTTAACTGGAGACGATTACATTACTTATACAAACAAGTTAATTAGATTTGTAATTTGCTGTTTGTCCTATTTCTACAAACAGAACACTTTTACTTCATAACTATCTAGAACTTGTGTTTGAGCAAGTTTTCTTTTGATACTGTGTTTACTGAAGTTTATTCTGAAAACTTTGTATTAATAATGAATGCTTTGTTTTGTAGCCTTTGGTGTCCAGATTTTGTTTTATTTCGTATTCACATGGTACAAACAGAAACAAGTAGTAAAATGACGATTTACTGAATATTTAGCGTAAATAGAACAAAATTTGTGTTACAAAAATCATAGCCAAACGTGTATCTTTTCAGATTGATTTGGAACCAACAGGCCGATTGCACATTCAAGTAGACTTGGATCATCGTGGTATTAAACATTCACGTATTTATACAGGGTGTTTCCTCTAAAGTTTACCCACTTTCTAACTTTTTGTTTACAAAGAAAAACTGCTGAAATTCGGAACACCTCTATATTGTTTAACAACTAACATTACGAGTTGCTAAATATACCATGTGTTGGAAATAAATCGTTTAGGATTCCAAAAACTTAGAATATATTCAATAAATTTAAAAAGTTTTTTGTACATATTCTAAGACAGTTTCATATCTCTGTCCCTTATATTTTTTTTAACCAGACTAAATAATATTGCAATGCCTTCGGGGTATATTTAATAGCGTAACAATAAGCTTCGTTAAATAATACACGGATGTCCCAAATTTCAGCGGTTTTCTTCATAAATAAAAAGGATAGAGCTAGAGAAATTTTAGATGAAACGCACTATGTAATAAGCGAGAGCTAAGATACAAAACATTCTAGGTGATGGCGAGATTCAACGGCAATTTAAAGAAAGGCAGCAGGGGTTTAACAGGCGACGCGGAGCTATGCGTCGAAGAGTTCATCAAGTCAATGGACACAAATTCATGGCGACTTTCCTACGTCAACCGACATTCTGTTCACACTGTAGAGAATTTATATGGTGAGAAAATAAAACAGTGAAGTGTTGAAAAATGTTAAATGGAAAATAATAATTTTAGGGGTTTAGGCAAACAAGGCTATCAGTGCCAAGGTACCAAACATAATATTATATATCGTGTTTTTAATATACCTATATGTATGTAGAGCTTTTTTACTGATTAATGATCGTCGGTAAAATCTGATTTCATAAATAGTTGTACATATTGTAGTTTTAAAATGATTTCAGTGCATCCTAGAATGATCTTGTTTTTGTTTTAAGTTGCAGCAACCTTCTGGCATGGCTGTTTTAATAGCTTTTCTTTAATGTTGTAAGTTGTTGTTGTTGTTCGGATTCTATAACAGTATGTCATTGATACATCATTTAAAATTTTTGCAGTCTGCACCTGCGTCGTTCACAAGAGATGCCATTCTTTAGTACTTACGAAATGTCCTGGAATGAAAGACGAAGTAAAAGTTTTATTAATGCGATTCGCCAATTTTACATTGTAAAATCAATTTTAGTCTACTCAACCAAACACCGGGTTCAGCGTGAATATTCCCCACCGTTTCGTCGTTCACAATTACAAGAGATTCACATTTTGTGACCACTGTGGCTCGCTACTGTACGGACTTTTTAGGCAAGGACTCCAGTGCGAAGTATGTTCTTTGAACGTCCATAAAAGATGCCAGAAAAATGTGGCGAACAGTTGTGGCATAAATGTGAAAGAAATGGCCGAAATTTTGAAAAATATTGGTAAGTTGACTCCTGAGAAATCCGTCTCACGACCTTCCAAATGTACGCCAAATACGCAAGCACAAGAACTTCCGTCGGACAATGCAGAAGCCAATAGAACTCAGTCTAATGCCGTTAAAGAAAACGAAGACGCTCTTCCCCAAGAAGACAAGGACAAAGCAAGTGGACACAAAATCGGCTTGGACGACTTCAATTTTATTAAAGTTTTGGGGAAAGGCAGTTTTGGAAAAGTCATGTTGGCGGAGAAGAAAAATACTGAGGAAATCTTTGCAATCAAGGTTCTGAAAAAAGACGTCATTATTCAAGATGACGACGTCGACTGCACCATGACTGAAAAAAGAATTTTGGCTCTAGCGGCTAAGCACCCATTTTTGACTGCTCTTCACTCCAGTTTTCAAACTAAAAATCGGCTTTTCTTCGTTATGGAATACATTAACGGGGGAGATTTGATGTTCCAGATACAAAGGGCACGAAAATTTGATGAGCCTAGAGCTAAATTTTACGCCGCTGAGGTCACTTTAGCGCTGCAGTTCCTTCACAAACACGGTGTCATTTACAGGGACTTAAAATTAGATAATATTTTGTTGGATGCTGAGGGGCATTGTAAACTGGCCGATTTCGGAATGTGCAAAGAAGGAATTTCTGAAGGGACCACTACTACAACGTTCTGTGGCACTCCGGATTATATAGCTCCTGAAATCTTGCAGGAGTTGGAGTATGGTCCTAGTGTTGATTGGTGGGCTTTAGGTGTTTTGATGTATGAAATGATGGCAGGTCAACCACCGTTCGAAGCAGACAATGAAGAAGATATGTACGAATCAATTTTACACGACGACGTTCTTTACCCTGTGTGGTTGAGTAAAGACGCTGTCAACGTACTGAAAGGGTTTATGACAAAAAATCCTAACAAAAGACTGGGATGTGTGACTTCTCATGGCGGAGAAGCAGCCATCAAGGTACATCCTTTCTTTAAAGAAATCGACTGGTTAGCTTTAGAACAAAAGAAAGTGAAACCACCTTTTAAACCTAGAATCGTGAGTATGCGTAAGACGTTTTAGGAATATTATAAATGTTTTCGAATTCTAGAAAAACAAGAAAGATGCTCTTAACTTCGACACAGAATTCACAAAAGAAGAGCCCGTGTTGACTCCCATTACCGCCGAAGTGACAAACTCTATAAATCAAGAAGAATTCAAAGGGTTCTCTTTCGTCAATCCAAATTACAATCCTGGTCGTTACAACGCTTCAGCGGAGTAAATTTTCTCGATAACATTTTTTCCATTTCATTTTAATCAAGTGGGAAACTTACATCTAACTCAGTTCTTAGGTAGAAGATTTCTGTGATCTTACTGGATTATTATACCAGAAATTAAATGTATAATTACGAATGGCGGCCTAAGCTCTGTAAATATTTTGATGAATTGAAAAGTTTTATTAGATCGAGTCAATTTATTATTGTTGTGGTAGCCTTAACTCTGCACTGATTCAGACTTCGTCACATTTGTGTTTGGAACCAAAACAAAAGCGGCAAATACATAAAGAGAGCTTATTATGAGAGATTTTTTTAATCATTATTATTGTTGATAATGTCATAGTTTATGTACATTTTGTTTAACGTGTGGCACCAGCTGATAAAAAAGCCACACAATAACAATAAACGTGGAGAGCAATCATTACGCAAAGCGTGCCTGTTAATGTTGTATGAATTAAAAGTGACGACTTTATCTGCCATATTGAGCTAATTAGCAAAATTCCAATACATTTCGAAGAAATGTAGGTACTTACGTTTGTTGTTGGAAAGAGCGAAATATTTCATGTCAGTAGTAGTTTAAATAATTATAGTCCAGCCAGCTAATATAGTGATGGATGTTTAGAGAATTTCCCACCATCATCAAACTACAAATTTCTTTGCGTCTTTGTCTTTGGTTTGTTTCTTTCCAGCATTATTAATAACGTTATTGAACATTTGCGTCCGTTATTGTGCCAAATTTTCTTTGCCTACCTCCTCTTTGTCTTTGTATTAAGATTTAAATGCAGGGCATTAAAACTTTATTTTGTTGTATTAGTATGATGTGTAAATTGATTATTAGATGGTATTATACCTATTTCTCCAAGTGTACTAAAATATGAATAAATATTATTTAGTGTAAAGGTTTTTTTTTATTTAATCGGCAACAGTGATTTACTTTAAAAGTGAAATAAAAACACTATTACTCTCTATTAATTGTATAATATCGTAAGAGCTAGGGATTTAATGGGAGAAAAACTATAGTAGAACTTAGTAGTGCGAAATTTTTTACTTTCCGCGGGCAAATTCGAAAATTCTTACCATTTTTCTAGAATCGCCAACATCAAATATTTTGTAATTTTTTAGTTTAAAAATATATTATTATTAAAAAAATAATAATAAAACTCAGTATTTCGAAAATGTTGATCCGGGACCATAAACACGTGCGAATCAGGTCGTCGAGATCTAACTATAGCAAATTCTTTTGTGGATTTTTAGTAAACTTTTCCAAAAGTTCAATTTTTTGATACTCCACACACATGACAAAATTTTTGACATTTTCTCGAGCAAATTCGAAAATGAACTGAGGATATTTTTTGCAGATTTCGATCTCCAGAAGTTGTTTTCAACTTCACTTCTTCGAATATTTCTACCATTTTTCCAAAATAGGCAATATGAAATATATCAATTTTTATGATTCAAAAAAAATTATTTGTTATGGATTTTTAGTCAACTTTTCAATGTTTAAAAAAATTATTATTTGCTCGAACACATTTGAAAATTACCGAAACAATTTTTTTTTATGAATTTCGACCCCCAAAAATCAACTTCCATTTTCCTTGTTCGAAAATTCTTACCATTTTCCCAGAATTGGCAATATCAAATATTTTGCAATTTTTAGAATTAAAAAAAAAACTTTCGAATCCAACAATTCGAAAATGTTGATTCGGGACTCTGTTTTTTCAGGTTATCAACATCTTCCTAATTTGTTGTGGATTTTTAGCCAAATTTTCTATATACTCAATTTTTCAACATATCAAAACTTTTTGAACTATTCTAGTGCATAATCAAAAATCACTGAAAGATGTTTTTGTGGATTTCAAACCCTAGAAATTATTTCCGCCTTTATTTTTTTCAAAATTTCTACCATTGTTCTAGAATGGCCAATATGAAATATGGCAATTTTATGATATTTTAAAAATTTGACTTATCAACCGAATGTTTCGACAATCCTATTCCAGGATAATAAACTCACTATATTTTACGAATCAGGTCGTCGAGATTTAAGTATAAGGTAAAATTTGTTGTGGATTTTTAAGCAACTTTTCCATAAGCTCAGTTTTTCAATTTTCAAATTCAATATTTTTGGCTTTTTCTCAAGTACATTCAAAAAATACTTGCAAACCTGATATTTGAAAAATATTGATACGGAGCCCTAAATATGCTATGTTTCTTGAAATGTTGACGAAATCTACACATACTTATAGCAAAATTTGTTGTAAATTTTTAGGCAATTTTTCCCTAAGCTTTATTTTTCAATATTTTAGAAATTTTTGACCTTTTCTCGACCACATTCGAAAATTCCGAACGTATTTTTTTTTATGGATTTCAACCCCCATATGTGATTTTCGAGTTTATTTGTTCGAAAATTCCTACCATTTTTCCAGAATCGCTATTATGAAATTTTTAGGAATAAAAAAAAAAAACTTTCAAACTCAATAATTCAAACATATTGTTTGGAATTATCGAAACGCTGTTTTTATGCAGCTTTTACATAAAATCAATTTTTCAATACGAAATATTTGGCCTTTTTTCGAGCAAATTCTAAAATTACTACAAGAGTTTTTTTCCCAAGAAGTTATTTTCGGATTTATTTCTTCAAAAATTTCAATTATTTTTTCCAAAATGGCCAATATGAAATATGGCAATTTTTAGGATATATAAAAATTTTGATCTACGAGATAAATATTTTGAAAAACTTGGTCCACGATAAATCATCTCCACTAACAATTTAATAACATTATCTCCAAAATTTACAACAGTAAATTTGTTTTTAATTTTATAAAAGAAGTTGGTTTTAAGATTATCGTAAACGTGGTAAATGGTTGATCAAAATTTATTCGTTTAACCCCTCCCAAAAAATTGATAACGTCATCTCAAAATTTTGCGGAATAAATCCTCTTTGGAATATGAAAAGTATTATGATTCTATACTTTTGTTTTATCAATGCACTCATAGTTTTCAGAATTATTTATACAGGGTCACTAAAAAAATTAGTGAAAGAGTTTATTGTACTGATTAAATCAAATCATCACAAAATTTTGTAATGGAAAAACTCACTTGAAACAAACGGGTAGTACGCTTATTTACATTTACTATAATCACTACATGCATATCCTATATCCTTATTCTAACATATAAGGCTTATCATAAAGATAAAATTCGCAAAATCAAATCTTATAATTTTTCTTCCACCAATTTTTTGACCTCACAATTTTTCGTTTTTCCTCTTCCTTCAATTTTACAACTTTTTTGTATTAAAATTTTTCATTTTTTCATTTTATTTCATTTTTCAATCTCTTGACTTCCTTTTTTTTCCACTTAATTTTTTTCTGTTTTTCAATTTCTTGACTTCCAAATGTTTAAATTTTTCGTTTCTTCAATTTTTCATGTTCTTGATTTTTATTTTTCATTTTCCAGATTTTTTTCATTTCCTCGATTTTGTATCACAATTTATCGTTTTTTCATTTCCGTTATTTTTTAAATGTTTCTAATTTTTAGTTTATTCGAATGTTCAAATTTTCATTACCAATTACAAATTTTTCAGTTAAGCAATTTTTGGATTTCTCAATTATCCGATTTTCCGATTTCTTTACTTTTCACTGTTTCAGTTTTACAATATTTCGTTTTTTCAATTTAGCACCTTTTTGATTTTTGAGTTTCTCAAGTTCTTGATATCCTATTTTTAGATTTTTGTAAATTTTCATTTTATGCCTACTTTTTAGATGTTTAATTTTTGATTTTTCAGTTTTACGTTTTTCAATTTTTTTCATTTTTTCTTCGAAAAGTTGAAACATTAAAAAATTTAAAATCGCCAAAAGTAGGAAATTGAAAAATTGCAAATTGAAGAACTGAAGAGACAAAAAATCGAAATATTGAAAAATTAGAAATCGAAAAATTTACAAATCGAAAAATATCAGTCAATCGGAAAATTCGAAAACCCAAAAATTCTAAAACAGAAAATTGATATAATCCTCAAAATTGTAAAATCGAAAGACTAACACTAAAAAATCGAAAAATTGAAAAATTAAAAATTCAAAAATTCAAAAGTCGAACAAATGAAAAAGTTTTGAAATCCAATAAATAATTGAAAAATATAGAAAAGTTCTAAAATCGTAAAATTAAAGATTGTTTTTAAATTTAAGTGTTATGACATTTAAAATGAAAAATAGGAAAATTACAAATCAAAAATTGCAAAACCGAAAAACTGAAAATCCAAAAATGGAAAAATTTTACACTGAAAAAAGAAAAATTATAAAATCATATAGAAAAACCGAAAATTAAAAAAGGAAAGAAAACAAAAAACCGAAACGGAAAATTGCAAATCGAAAAATTGAAAAATCGAGAAATTTTAAATCGAAAAATTGCAAAATATAACAACTGAAACACAAAAAAATTAAAAATTGAAAAATTACAAATCGAAAAATTGAAAAAACCAAAAATTAAAAAAATTAAAAATGAAAAAACCGAAACATTGGAAAATCCAAAGAGGTAGTAGGTGATGTTATCTCCATGGACAAATCGAGTAATTGAAAAAATAAAGAAAATAAAAAACCGAAACGAAAAATTTCAAAGCGAAAAATTGAAAAATTAAAAAATTAAAACTCGAGAAACAAATCGAAAAATTGCAAAATTTAGAAATTGAAAAACTCAAAAGTCGGAAAAATAAAAAACTCAAAAATTGCAAATCGAAAAACTGAAGGAACAATGACAACATTGAAGAAGTGAAAAATTCAAGTCAAACAAGTTGCAGGAGTGTAATTTACGCCACTGATTTTTACTTTATAGAGGTTATCAGAAAGCAAAAATTGTAAACTTTTTTTTACAAATTGTCAAAGAAGTGGGATTTATTGGGCTGCACTTCAGCGGCGAGGGAAGTTCTCTTGAAATAACCTTCGATCAATTTTTTACAGAAATAACAATTTCAAATGGAATAATGTTCCAAAATTTCGTGCAAAAGATGTACAGTTGGGGACACGGAATTTTAAACGACCTGTCAATCATAATGACAGTAAGGTATAAGACTACAATGTTTTTAAATGTCAGAAAATTGGTTGTCGTTTGAAATTCCGTGTCCCAAACCGTAGGTACCTAATTCATCATTTTTAATAGCTATTGTGTATAAAATTTAATTTTGGAGATCGATACATTTTTTGTTCACAATCAGACAGTAGCTGTTCACAATCAGACAGTAGCATACAGCTTTTTTGACATCTGAAACATTAGTTGGAAAGCCTGAAAGGGGTGAGTAATGATTACGCGTAACATAATCGGTCAAAAATGACCCACTTTCTGACCTGTGGTGGCGCCGCTGTCGATTTGAACTATAAATATCAAACGAAAGTATTTATTGCAGTGGCGCCCGCATAAATTTTGGTAGAAATTGCTACAAACTTTTCTAGTAGTAATGATAGTGATAATGATAACGAAAACCAAAGACTACGGAGAGAGCCGTTTTCCATACGCCAGATTTCTGTGAGAATAATACAAGAAAAGGACGTTATCATATCACCATCTAACGCCAATGAATAGGTTGTACGTCGCTTTAGAATGTTATGCGTTAGGTCCAACAATGAAAAAGTGAAGAAATGACACATGTGGCAACAGGAAAAGATGCTACATCTGTCTGAAAAATAAAGGTATAAAACAGTAACAAATATGCGATTTATGCGAGAGAAATGTATGTATTGAACATTCGATTAGTCGATTACAAAACTAATTTGTGCTAATTGAAAAAATTAATCACTATGTAACACGCAATTATTATTTTCTAAAAATAATAACATACCTTAAACAAATATTTTTACTATTGAAATTAATCTTATTTAATAACACAAATACAACCAGCGGGTCTACCGGACCCGGGTTGCTCAGGTACACAGATAAAATGCATTGCCCCGGATAAGCGTAAAACGCAGTGAATAGTGAATTGTGGTTTATGGTTTTTAAAATACCATCTTACCATGGCTTAGATTTATTACCCCTCAGGATTATATTTAAAGATGTATAAGTACTGAAGGCTACAATGTAGGAAATGATGGTATTTAAAATATGAAAATTTCCGTGGCAGAACACTATTAGTGGACCTCTTACCTCTATTTTTGTTTATGTGACCAAAATCACCAACATGAAGTATCAAAAATTACTATTAGTATAACTCAACTAATAACTACCGAAAAAAAGTGAAATAAAAAAATGTATCTGTATCTGCGCCCTTAATTTTGTATCTAGATACAGATATTTTGTGCTTAAATTCGATTTTATCTAGATACAGATACAGATACCCAAAAATGTATCTAGATACTCCCCAACACTGTCAATAAATATGAATTTTTCGTTTGTTTTATTGAATAACTTTTTAAGTATTGACTTTAGAATATTTGTTGCTTTTAATTTTTTAGAAAAAAAAAACAACAATCTTTCCATTTATGAAAAATATACCTAGTGTTCCATATAGAAAATAAAGTTGGCGTCATTAATAAGTGATAATAAAAATGTGAGGTTGCCGTACTTAGATGTTTTAAAATGACACAAATTTGCTCAAAGAACTACAGGTTTATCTTTAAGAGTAAAAAAGTTACAGGGGTTGTATCATTTAAAACAAATACCCTGTATTTATCGACAATTTGGCCTTCACTCGAATATTTCTGGTTTCAAACCAGCGGTCGCCCGCATTCTTTCCAAGCAAAATCGAGTTGAAGAAAGCAACGATACCGATGTCGCGCTCTCCGCTTTCATCGCTTCCATCTAAAGAACTGTATTATATACATGTATGTATAATAAAGTACTTTATTACTTCCATTGATTACGTAATCGCGTACGCTGCCGCCATCTCTCGTCCGCGGCCCTACTCATCCCCACCAGCGCACCGGTTCTTCTGTTCGCTGCGGCCGCGAGTGTCCGCGCGCTCGCCATCGATTCCGGGAGAGGTGGGTAGAGGTCGGTCGCGAATCGGGAGCGGGAGCGGCGCCGCCGTCGCTCGTCGTCCATGGCTGGTGCTGTCAAGAAGTGGTGTTTGTATCGTTGCGCGTCCGACGTCCGCGGGCGGCGGTGTTGATGTGGCTCGCGCCCCGTTCCTCCTAAGTGCATCGGCGGCGGCGTGCGAGGTGCGTCCCAATGTTCACGGGGACCGTCCGCATCAAAATATGCGAGGCTCAGGGCTTGCGGCCGACGGACTGCTCGAAGCGCCACAACATGACGTTCGGCAAGGCGGCCGACGACCAGCTGATGGACCCCTACGTTACCATCGACGTGGACGACATCCATGTGGCCCAGAGCACCACCCGCCAGAAGACGCTCGATCCCGTCTGGAACGAGTACTTCGAGCAGGCCGTCGAGAACGCCAAGACGCTCACGCTGACCGTCTTTCACGACGCCGCGATCCCTCCGGACGTCTTCGTCGCCAACTGCAGCATACCCTTCGAAGACCTCCTCAACCGGGACAAGGACGAGGCCGACTTCTGGGTGAGTGCGGGATGGACACGGCACGTTCGACTGAGTTGAGGGACGATTTCTCGACGATATGATTGACGGAATGTTTGTTTTCGTCTTGGATTGGAATAGGGTCAAGTTGGCGAATGCACGGTTACCTGCGTTACACAGTTCGTACGATACGAAAATGCAAGTTTTCGGTTTACGTTTGTCTGTTATTAGAGAGATAATCTCCGAAACTAAGTATCAAGTAATTTAAAATGTTAATAGTGTACTTCGCGGTAATCACGAAAATGATAAAGTTATTTATTTATAAGAAATCTGCTTCTACCCCCAATACTTAAATTTTCGGATAACGGTTTTGCAATAACAAAAAAAAAAAATGTAAATATCCAAATTGTACAATTCTGTATGAAAGTACATATATACTTAATGGAATTTTTAGAAATTTGAAAACCCGACCATATTGTTGATGACGTCACCCCCAAAAATTATTAAATAGATATATTTATTTTATCGATTATCTCAGGAAATGTTTATCTAATTTTTGCATAATGTAGGGTTAATTTGGTTAGAAATTAGATGGAGATGTAATCTCTGAAATTATGGCAATTCCTACCAAGTAATTTGAAATTTTAAGTGTACTTTACGGTTTTCATAAAAATGATAAAAGTTTTTTTTTGTAATCTGATTCTATCCCAACACTTAACTTATCTTATAAGGGTTTTCCAACCTTAAAACGTTTAGGAACATCTATACAGAAAAAATAAAGGTATAAATTCATAAATCACAGCTATATAGATGTATGTTAAAATTTTGAAATGACGTCATCAAATTGTTGGTGGGAATGATAAGACAAATTTTTGGTTAGCGTTTTACCATCAACATCATGAAATTCCTAAAATACATAATAAAAAAATTCACAAGATAACAAAGACAAATTATAACGACAAACAGACGGAAGCGGGGATGGATCTTAGATCATATAATAAATAGATACCACCACGCCGTGTTCTTTCCCTGACAGAGCCTGTGACGACATCCTCCTGTCACACATCTCTCTTCTGCATAGAGGGATTACAGTCAAGCTATCCTTGCCTGATCACTATTTGAATTTTGCGCGCCTAAATTTTAGGAAGTATGTCTGAACTAATTTCGTACGAAAGATGTTGACAGCTTGATTTCATAAATAATTCACAGTAGATAACGAAAGGAATAGTAAATTATTGGGCAGCAATTGTGATCCTTTATGATTACATCACTTAAAATAGAATCTTTGTTCTAAATTATAAAATTGTTTTTCATACAAGAACTCGAAAGAGAGGTTAGAAGAAACATCTGTCAAAAGCAATTTGTTGCGCTGGTGCGGTACCAGGATGGAAGTGAAATAGACATATACAGATGAAATGCATATAACAAAGATGAAGATGTGGTGATCACACAAGGATAGCATTATAATATTCCCCTTGACGTAGAAAACGACAACAGATAGCTTCATGTCTAGTCACAGCTTTCAGTTTGAGTATTGGTATCTATTTATTATATGATCTAAGGGATGGATCTACTTTTTCGTATTTTAGGAGTTATCAAACCTCGAGAAAACACGAAATTAGCAATTCACCGGATGGGCTATTACAATACGGGAGTAAAACTGATAACTAATTAAATGCAAGGAAGTTGTGTATTAACATAAAAACGAAAGGCAAAATCATCTTAGAAGCTTCGTTTTGCACTGATATTCTGCAAGATATCCAATATTGTATCCAGTTTGAAGTTGACGCAATGCCTTTTTGAAATTAGTAGTGCTATTCAGGGTACAGACCACGCTAAATTAACTAAGAATGAATATTTATTTATATCAATCTAATTTATTAAAAGTTGAAAAGTTCCCCAAAAATGCCACTAAATTTTATAGTTTTTAAAAGTTTTGTGATTAATAAATTAAGATTGGAAGCCTGTAGCTGAAATTACAAAAATGTAACATTTCAAATACATAACTAAAATACTTTTTTTAAGTCCACCAACATCTCAATTTCTATCAAAAATATACGTGGCAACATATCTTTAGTGATATATACCGAGTGATTATTAATGTTTGAAATTTTTTTTAAGGTGGCAACCTATTAAAAATTTTATGATGGCATACCTGATTCTCAAAGTGATATTTATGACAGCTGTCATCGTCTCAAACGATCAGGCGTGCTCATGTCAAAATTGACAACTGTGAACTGACGTACTAGGATGGATATCAATAATTCTAAATTGCCAACACAAAAATTTGTTTTAATCATTAATAGTCACCCGGTATCAGTATTTATAGACAGAAAGGAGTTTAGGATTTAATTACGTCAAAAAAAGGCGTTTATGGAATAGACCTTTTGTGAAAATTAAAAAAGATTTAGTGAAAAAGATGGTGATATTGGTCCGCACTCAAATTTAAGTTGGCAACAATGAATCTCTTAAAAGCACCATATTCGATTGGTGGATTTCATGGCACCCAATTTAAAATGTAGAAAAATCAGCCTAAGTCATTGTTACCAAGCTAATTTTGAGTGCGGACAAATATTACCATGTTTTTACTTCATAAAAAAAAATCTTTGTAGTCCCAAAGGTCCATTATCTATCATTTTTGAAATGGGAGGTGCGACTCAGGTCTTGCAAGTGTCAAATATAGTACATCTACATTCCCCTATGTGTAGGGGAGTTTACTTAGTTAGACATAACGCAGCAAGTAGTGGTTTTTGGAAAAAAGAAACGCACTTTATTGAATACTAATTTAAAGTTTGCAGTTGGTATAATTGATTTAAAAATCACACCAAGTTCGCCTCAACCACTTTGGTTGTCAGATTTCGATAGCTACGATTTGAAATTGAGTAATGTCATTTTGAAATCAGGAGTGCCAATCGAGGGTACAAATCACCCCAAATCAGAATATTTACATGAATTGTAATTTATTAAAAGTACAAAAGTTCCCCAAAAATGCTACTAAAGTGTATAGTTCTTGGAAGTTTTGTCAATAAACAAAGATTGGAAGTCTATATCTGAAGGTGAAAATCAGAAAAATATGACTTTAAAATGACTAATATACTTTTTTTTTTCTAAAGTCCGCCAGCAATTTCTATCAAAAATATACTTGGGGACATAGCTTTAGTCATAAATACCAACCCAGTCTATAGATAGAAAGGGGGTTAGGAATGTTAGGATTTACTTATGTCAAAATTATGTATCGTATAGGGGAATTTACTTAGTGCAACATAACGCAGCAAGTATGTTATATTTTTAAAAGAAAAGCTCCCTAAAAATGTCACTAAAGTTTATATAGAGTTTTTGAAAGTTTTTTGATTAAACTAAGACTGGAAGTCTGTGTCTGAAGCGGAAAATTACAAAAATATAACATTTAAAATAACTATAGTCTTTGCCATATCTATTGAAACACCACTTGTTAATCGTAAATTTGGCAACGACGTTCATATTCAGACAATTTTCTAACTAAAAGCCGTTGTCAATCAACCGAAAACTTATCAATTGCTAAATTTTAAGCAAAATTGACAACTGGTGTTTCAACAGAAATGGCAAAGACAATAAAATACTTTTTTTTCAAAAGTCCATCAACATCGCAATTTCTATCAGAGTTGGCACCACTGATTAAAAAAAATGACTACAGATCTGAATAACAACGTGTTTGAAATTGACATAATGCCATTTTGAAACTAGGAGTGCCAATCGAGGGTACAAACCACACTAAATTAACTAAGAATGAATGTTCACACATAAAATATAACTAAATTTTTTAAAAGTAGAAAAGTCTCCTAAAATGACTACTGAAGTTTCTAATTTTTGCAAGTTTTGTGATGAAACTAAGTTGGGGAGTGTACGTATGAAGCTGAAACTTACAAATATAATATGTAGAAAATACCTAACTAAAATAGGGTTTTTTAAAAAGTCTACCAACATCGCAATTTTTATCAAAAATTATGTGGCAGCATCGCTTTACTGATAAATATCACTATCTATAGACAGAAAGGAGGTTAGGATTTAATTATGTCGAAAGTGGCGTTAGAAAATCAGCAACAAATGTAAGAAATTTTAGAAACTATTTCCTACCATAAAGAATATTTGTCATATTTTTTTATGTTTTTTTTTGTGTTTAAGACAAGAATATTTTTTATAATAACTTATAGCATGTCAGTTTTATTAAGCTTTTGTGTAAAAAGACTCAAAAAACGCGTTTTTCCTCTTTGAATTTTATAATACGGAGGATTTGTCGGATTTTGCAGTAGTATTAAAAAAACTGATAAAAAGCAATTGTTAGTAAGGTAGTTTAGACCCAATTTTAGATCATAACGACCAACTGTTAGAAAAATTACGGTATCTGTAGCATTGAGTTGAACTAGATATAAAATTACGTAAAAAAAAATAATAGGGTTCCATTTAAAAAGTTGATTGATGACGTCACGCTGTCGTCATAACAACGAATATGGATTGTGGGTTGGTGGAAGTTGAGGGGTTATTTTGCGTTGTCTTTCTAAAATTTAGTGGTGATCCCTTGCTGAGATAATCTACAAAACATGGCATAAATTAAATTTTACAAACATCATCGCTGGGTATATTTTTTTATAGTGACTCATTCAGTATTTTTTAAGATGGCGTCATTCAGGTTCAAAGAAGTCGGTTGTGAAACATTTGAAAGAATTGTAGATTCACGGAAAAACAATATTTAGTACCTACTTGCATTAGTTAAATGTTAAATGTGAAATAAAAAATTGCACTCATTGATAGAGGTTTTTCGAAATTTCTTTGACCTTAACAAGGTTAAGGTTTAGACACGGACATTTTCCAGAAATGTTTAAAAATATTTGGTTTTGATCATTGCTCATTTTCATTAGGTGTTCCTTTTTGCTATACGAGAATTGAGTATTAAGTATAAAACCAATGGAATTTATTTATTTCAAAACGTGACGCAAGTCTTAGAACCGTTATTTACTGTTCCACATATTCGTAAGAGAGAAAAAGTGGTATCACTTTTACTACAGATTTCCTTGAACGTTTAATGATTAATATATTCACAAGTATCACACTATTAATATGAACATTCACTTTTAATGCGTTGAACAAATATTGCTTTGTCTTAATTTTACACTTTACTTTTTTACGAAACTTTTTTAGTTCATAAATTTCGAAAAAATAATCTGTGTTTTGTGACTGTAAGAATTAAAAATCTGATTTAAATACAACTAATTTAAAATATAATTGATGTTAGATATTTAATTTACTACGACGTGGAATATTAATAATTTCTGCTTTAAAATGTGACCTCTAAATGCAATGAATGCAAGATATTCAGTGAGGTAGAATTTATTACGTAATATTCCCTCTATATCCTTTCTAGTTTTTTTTTTGTAAATTCGCCCCTTCACCCTTGTACTTTATCAGTGTTATGAAAGTGTTCCCTAATGCCAATTAAACCAAAAAACTAGCAATTACAAAACCACGTAACAAAATTCGGAAAATTTAAAAATAAAATACAAAACAAAAATTTTAGTGATGAATAATTTGATAACAAAGAACGTGTAATGATCTGTTTATTGAATTCGTTCCAATTAGATAACTTTCCCGTATCGTTTTCGTGACATTGGCACTAATGTTATGAATTTACTTGGTTTATGCGTTATTCAAGGACCAAGGACGTATCTATTTTCTTATTTGTTTAAATAACTTTATTATTCTCAGGATAATTTTCGCGCAGAGTTTATTATCGAGCAATAATTACACAGTTTCTGTAAAAAATTTTGCGTTGTCACTCGTCATAACCTTAATAATAAACAAAACAAATTTACGTTGTGGAAATTCCAGAATTATTGTAAAGAAAAAATTATGGTAAATTATTACATTACATCACTTTTTAATGTGTTTGGGATAACAAAATCGTACTTACTCATTGGGTTTTCTAGCTTTCATTCATAAAGTCGTTGCGTAATTTATATTATTAACATCTGGTTTAACTGTGAACAACATCGTCACTTACTGGTTATGTGTCAGTATTTTCGTATTTTCCATATACAATGTGCTCAGAAAATATGTAAAAAATCTTAATTAAAATCTACTTTTTTAAGTGTATGTCAAAAGAGCGTCAAAAGTGAAAATTTGAAGTGGCACATCAATAATACTTAAAACAAGCCCGGCGAAAATATTTACAATTTTTTGTTACTTGGATCTACAGTCTTTTTTACAAATTTTGCCTATTTTTATTTTATTAAACGTGTAACTTTTCTTAGGCGTAAGAAAGGATTACTTAAGATTTTTTTTCTGGAAGAATGTCAGGCTATTGCACCCCATATGCTTAAACCAGGATTTTTCTAAGAATTGTTTGCTTCGATTGTTATGTGGAAAATAAAAACAGGATGTACAGTCACACTGAACGAGAACTCCAATTTGGTAACAGATGCCAAATAATATTTATACACTCGCCCATCTTTTTAATGACTAGTGTCTCACTTGTAATGTCATAGGTAAAAAAAAACCTTTATTTGTAATTTTCTCTAAAATTAAAAAAGGAAAAGGAAAAATAATAAAAATTATATGTTAAGGCAGTTGCGTCATTTACACTATGTGGTGCTAGTTGTGGTGTGTTTGTGGTTAATGTGTCATTCACACATGTGTGTACCACAGTTGTTGTCTTTTTGTATTTTTTTTTTAATTGTTTTAATATATACGTAAGAAATTGAAAATTGGAAGTCAAGACTCTTCCATTTAGTTGAATTGATTTAATTTTTCGAGGAACTGCAAAATTTTCCAGTTAGATTGATAAAAATCTATTCTAATCAAAGTTGTTTTGTTGTAGCGGCATTTATATGTCGCCACCTATCTGTGTGAAATGTTTGCGGTAATTTAGTAACACTTTCTAATCAAGCCGGTTTGACACTGGGAAATATTTATTTTGGAAAAGCTTGTGTAAATATTTATTTAAATCGTCCAAGGTATTTCCTAGTTGGTGAAATTTCAAAAATTTGCAAATGAGTTTGCTGACTGCACACATTTTTATGATTTGTGAAAAGCAGCCCGTTAGATAACCGTTCATAAATTTAAACACTCAGGGCTACCTATCAAATTGACACATCATCATCAAAAAATTCTCCGTTTTGATGGCACGACAAGTTTGTTTTTTTGGCCCAAGTAAACAAAACAAAAAAACATGCAAGTGAATTTTTCAAATGCTTTCGAAAATGACTCATCCGGTAAATAACTTCCACCTTGAGAATGCTCCTTGAACGCGGTGACGAAACGTCGGCATTTTGCCAACTGTACTAAGTTAGTGTATGCGTGTATCGTCAATTTATTTATTAACTCGGTCTGTTATTTCCAGGTAAATTTAGAACCTAAAGGCCGTCTTCACCTTAGAATAGACTTGAAGTTGACAACGAAAGGTAACCGAAAGTCGGGAGTAAGGGTTGTTTTTGATTAGATTTTCGCACAGATTATCATGGAGCTAAGCCTCGCGAGTTCAAGGAACGCCAAGGATTCAACAGAAGACGCGGCGCCATGCGGCGGAGGGTCCATCAGGTTAATGGCCATAAATTCATGGCAACTTTTCTCCGTCAGCCTACCTTCTGTTCGCACTGTCGAGATTTTATTTGGTAAGTTTGGAAGTTTCTTATGCACGGTTAATCGAAAATGTAATAACAAAATTGTGTTTGTTTCCGGGGCCATTAACTTCACAATGGTGGTTCTGTTTTCAGGGGTTTGGGCAAGCAAGGCTATCAGTGTCAAGGTACGAAGCCGTCGGCTGCATGGTCCGTGTATATAATATGTACATAGTGCAGCTTAGCTTATTTTTATTTTGTTGTGTCCTGTTCGAAACGAACCCCTCCGGCGGCGTGCTTTAGCGGCGCCGGAGGCGGTCATGATTTTCTATTGTTTATAGGTGTGGTAGCTTAATCTATATAGCATGTGACCAAGTTCAGGATTTGGTGACCGATTAATCGATTAATTTCATTTTTGATTTGCAGCGGCAACGGCATGGCTCTGTCTTTATATAGCTTTTTAAGTTTTATTGTAAGTTTATTGCATTCTCCATTTCTTTCTTTAATAACTTAACCGTCTGTCATGCAATCATGTTAAGTAAACAAGCTTCCCATATTAGTTAAGAAACTTTTTGGTAATATCATTTTTCTTTCGGTAATTCGGTGTTAGTTAATTGAATCATTGCCTTCAACTTTCCTTTTTTTAGTAATGAAGTTTTAAATTGGAATTTCTTACAGTTTGCACCTGCGTTGTTCATAAGCGATGCCATCTCTTAGTTGTTACAAAATGTCCAGGAATGAAAGATGAGGTAACTATTTTATACTTTGTTGTATCGACGAAGGCCATTCCATGATAACGGATCGAACAATCCTTCCATAATTGGCTAAAATTTATTTTTGACAAATATTTATTTACGACGGAATATTAGTGGTATTAATTGCGCAGACATAAAAATATTTTTAAAATATTGTTCAACACTTTAAATATCTCAGGTTACTGTCATTAGAACGGCTACTAATAAGTTATTCATTAAAAATAGAGTAAAAATTTAGAAACAGCTCAAAATTGTTGTGTATTAATATGAAATATTAATGTTGATATTATTTTTAAAAGTTAAAATTGCCTGCCCTTATTTTTGAAAAACTTGTAAAACATTTTAAACTGTCCAGCGCCCTAAAAAATCACAGATTTTACAAATTTTGGATGAATTCCATCACTTACAGACAAATTTTCGGACTACTGGATGTAGGTCGATGAGGATGGAATTCGAATCCACAAGTCCGACAAACACGAAAATATTACATACAAATTTTTGTAGAAAGTACTTGTGATAAAAAGCAAGGCGGATCCATAAACCACGAGTTTTTGTTTGTTTTGTTTTATAAAATTATATACTCTTTCTACGCAAAATAATAGACGTCATCAAATTGTTGGCTGGTATCATTAGACAAATTTTTGTTAGCGTTTTACACGATATTCATAAATCACATAAAATTCGACGACAATCAGCCCACTAGTTTCAGAAATTATCTGTCTGATAAAAACCGACGGTTTTTTCCTTTTCAAGGAACGTCGACAAAACCTGAAAGTAGTCATACTTCTTTAGTTTACGCTTAGAAAGTAAAAACACAAATTTAAGTCACGTGACTGTTTAAACAAAAAATATGTACTTTTATTTTTTCAAACTACTTCAAAACTACTTCAAAACAATGGGTCCCAGAGATTCTTTCAAACTACGTCAACAACTAGACACAAGGGGTCCCAAAATTTTTTCAAACTACTTCAAAAACAATAAAAGGGGTCCCCGAGATTCTTTCAAACTACTTCAATAATGAGGCATAAGGGGTCCTCGAGATTCTTTTAAACTACTTCAAAAATAAAACAAAGGGTCCTCTAAATTATTTCAAACTACTTCAAAAATCAGCCACAAGGTCCTCGAGATTCTTTTAAACTACTTCAAAAATAAAACATAACGGGTCCCTGAGATTCTTTGAAACTATGTACTTCAAAAACCACAGACGAGGTCCACGAGATTCTTTCAAATTACTTAAAAAATTAAACAAAAGAGATCCCAGAGATCCTTCAAACTACTTCAGAAACAAAACAAGGGGTCCCCGAGATTCTTTTAAACTACTACAAAAACAAAACACAAGGGGTCCCCGAGACTCTTTCAAACTACTTCAAAAACGAGACAAAAGAAGTTCCAGAGATCCTTCAAACTACTGCAAAAACAAAACGCAAGGGGTCCCCGAGAGTCTTCCAAAATACTTCAAAAACCAGACACAAGGGGCATTCATTAAAACTAGTTCAAAAACAAAACAAACGGAGTCCCCGAGATTCTTTCAAACTACTTCAGAAACCAGGCACAAGAGGTCCCCAAGATTCTTTCAAATTACTTCAAAAATGAAACGAAAGAAGTCCCAGAGTTTCTTTGACCTACTTCAAAAACAAAGGACAAGGTGTCTCCAAGATTCTTCCAAACTACTTCAAAAAGCAGACACAAGGAGCCCCTAGATTCTTTCAAACTACTTCAAAAGCTAGACACGAGGTCCCCGAGATTCTTTTAAATTACTTCAAAAACCAGACACAAGGAGTCCCCGATATGATTTCAAATTACTTCAAAAATGAAACAAAAGAAGTCCCAGAGATCATTCAAATTAGTTCAAAAACAAAACACAAGGGGTACCCGAGATTCCTCAAAACTACTTCAAAAACCAGACACAAGGGGCCCCAAGATTCATTCAAACTACTTCAAAAACAAAATGCAAGGGGTCCCTGAGACTCTTTCAAACTACTTCAAAAACGAAACAAAAGAAGTCCCAGATATCCTTCAAATTAGTTCAAAAACAAAACACAAGGGGTACCCGAGATTCCTCCAAACTACTTCAAAAACCATACACAAGTGGCCCCAAGATTCTTTCAAACTACTTCAAAAACGAAACAAAAGGGGTCTTCGAGATTCTTTCAAACTACATCTAAAATCAGACACAAGGAACTCCTAAATTCTTTCAAACTACGTCAAAAACAGAACAAAGCGAGTCCCCGAGTTTCCTTGGAATTACTTCAAAAACAAAACAAGGAGTCCCCGATATTATTTCAAACTACTTCAAAAACCAAGTACAAGAGGTCCTCGAGATTCTTTCAAGTTACTACAAAAATAAAACTAAAGAATTCCCAGAGATGTTTCAAAAACCAGACAGAAGAGGTCCCCGAGACTCTTTCAAACTACTTCAAAAACGAAACAAAAGGGGTCTTCGAGATTCTTTCAAACTACATCAAAAACTAGGCACGAGGAGCCCTTAGATTCTTTCAAATTACTTCAAAAACAAAACAAGGATTCTCCGATACTATTTCAAATTACTGCAGAAACCAGGTACAAGAGGTCCTCGAGATTCTTTCAAGTTACTACAAAAATAAAACTAAAAAATTCCCAGAGATCTTTCAAAAACCAGACAGAAGAGGTCCCCGAGATTCTTTCGAACTACTTCAAAAACAAAGCGCAAGGGTCCCTGAGACCCTTTCAAACTACTTCAAAAACGAAACAAAAGGGATCCTCGAGATTCTTTCAGACCACATCAAAAACTAGACACAAGGGGTCCCCGAGATTCTTTTAAACTACTTCAAAAACTAGACACAAGGAACTCCTAAATTCTTTCTAACTACGTCAAAAACAGAACAAAGCGAGTCCCCGAGTTTCTTTCAAATTACTTCAAAAACAAAACACAAGGAGTCCCCGATACTATTTCAAATTACTGCAAAAACCAGGTACAAGAGGTCCTCGAGATTCTTTCAAGTTACTACAAAAATAAAACTAAAGAAGTCCCAGAGATCTTTCAAAAACCAGACAGAAGAGGTCCCCGAGATTCTTTCAAACTACTTCAAAAACCAGACACAAGGGGCCCCAAGATTCATTCAAACTACATCAAAAACTAGACACAAGGAGCCCCTAGATTCTTTCAAAAACAAAACAAGGAGTCCCCGATATTATTTCAAATTACTTCAAAAACCAGGTACAATAGGTCCTCGAGTTACTACAAGTTACTACAAAAATAAAACTAGAGAAGTCCCAGAGATCTTTCAAAAACCAGACAGAAGAGATCCCAGAGATTCTTTCAAATTAATGTTAATATTTTTAAAATTTGATAGATTTGAAGTTTATAATTTGTTAAAATACTATTTGTAATAATTATACAGTTTCATAGGCATAACACGGCTGGCCCTCTGCCCGTTATCTTTTATTATTATTAATAATAATAATAATAAATTACTTCGAAGACAAGGTATCACGGGCTACGTCCAAGACATTTTTCAGGTTTAATTTCTTCCTGGAAATTCTTGAATGAAGGGGTAACCTGCTGGTCGAGATAAATTTCTCTGCTTATTTTCGCATATACTTTAAGTTATTATTTTTCTTACATTCAGTATTAGTTTCTTTCCAAATTTTTTATTGCTGGTTTTTATAATTGTGAAAAATCGTAAACTTTCATCACAATTGATTTTAAACTTTCTTAAACTATTTTAGTAAATATTGTATATATCTGTCATTCCTAATCCATTGGATTTGCCCATTTCAATTCAGCGGCAGTGATATAAGGTAACAAAATTTTACCGAGTCTTTTTTACTCTCACTGTATAAAGAATTTCGATTTTCAAACTCTTGCTTAAAATAACGTGTGATTTTTTTTAATTATTTAGTATTATTTACTCTACGGCTGACGTAAGCGTCATGGCCAACTAGAGCAGAAATTTAAAAATTCACCCGTTATAACGGTCTATCTTTTCCATATTCTCTATACTAGAAAGAAGTCGTGATGCGGCAAATGTGGACTACTTTCAGTGCCAATCGAATACAAATGATTTTTTTACAAGTAAAGATTTCGATTTAAATCGATCGATTTAAAAATTAAGAGTACCCATATTTCATTTTAAAAAATTTAAAGCTGTCGTTTCCAGTCGCTATACATGCTAACAACGTTCTTGTTAATTCATGTTTTAAAAAGAGGACAAAAGAAAACCAATGACACGGAGTTAAAAAGTCATTATTAAATCGGGAATTGGTAAATTAACGACAGATCAATACTAGAACTAGAACTACCAAGTAATACCACAAAGATAATAAGCAGGGTTTTGTAGTAATAAACTCCCGTTTTGATGTGTGTTGCGTTTATTCTTTATTATAATAAGTTAATTTCATTTCTATTTAAGATCTGTCTGTTCAGACGCAGATTAATGTTATTTTTCAGTATATAGTAACACCCCACACAAGGCTTATCAAGGTGATTTCATGTACCGATTTGAAGTTTCGATTTTTAAAACAAAAGTGGAGCAAAAGTGTTAATTGTACACAGGGTTTAAAAATGTATTATCTGGTGCTTTTCAAATCTGCTGGGAATTATACACTCCATACCACAACTCTTGTATTTTTTAACAAAACAATATTTCGTTTTCTAAAACGAAAAAAAAAATCACTAATTCGTCCTGTTAATCATGGAATGGCTAATACGCGCCACGGAATGTGCGTCTAACCGTACAAATAAAATCCCCCTTATAAATATTGACCATAATAAAAATTAAACACTCGTAACAGTCTAACAGTAAACACCATAATTATGAACTTGACCTTGTATGCACAAATTTTAAATATTTCGTTTGTCTTTGTTTCCAGTCTAGTCAACAAAGTACAAGATTTAATGTGAACGTGCCGCATCGTTTTGTAGTCCACAATTACAAAAGGTTCACATTTTGTGATCACTGTGGTTCGTTATTGTACGGTTTAATCCGTCAAGGACTCCAATGTGAAGTTTGTTCCTTAAACGTGCACAAACGCTGCCAGAAAAATGTAGCGAATAACTGTGGTATCAATACAAAACAAATGGCTGAAATTCTTTCCGAAATAGGTATTTCGCTGGCGTTGTGGCTGGCTTTCGTATTTTCATGCTTGAGTTTCAGGTGTTTCTCCCGATAAGCAGCCGCTCAGGAAAAATAGATACATGTCAGGTTCAGGAGCCAACGGCGCCAATTTCGAAGGCCAATCTGAAAATCAAGCCCCAGAAAACGAATTAGAAGGTGCAGATGAACGGTTAACTAAAATGATGGAGGAGAAGTTGTCCAATAACGGTAATGATTTTTGATGATTATATCAAATGTACTTGTAAAACATGAATACTCTTGCAACTATACTTGTTTTCATATCTTTATAGATTTTATAGCACGTTAGAGCTTAGCTTAATGAATGAACTTTACCGAATTCCCGTATCGAAATTCGATAATAGCTTTACGGTTGGAGTTGCATTGTCAAGGGACCATACTAACACATTGCATAAGACTAATGCGTATTTTACGTTCAGTTCATCACGCTTGCATTTACTTTTGGTTAAATCGATAATAAAGTCACTCATTTTTGGTATGTGTGATGATTTGGCAAATTTTTGGATTTAAAGTCATCCTAGTTCAAAGTCATCTATTAAATGAAGAAACTTAAATATAGCTACTTTGGTGTTAATTTCTAACAACCGACACTGAATGCCTAATAATAATCCATGTTTAATTATCTTAATTTAATTATACATTTTTTCAGAGACTATTTTTTTCCGTGTTAACGTAAAGGGCGAAATAGAAATTACAATCAACGTTTCTCTAAGTAAATACTTACCTTTCTTGTAGACTCTGGAAACTACTTCGAGAATAAATTTAATAAATAATACAACAGAATATCTTAAAAAACTTTATAAGAGAGGTATTTTTTCTGTTCACTGTGCTTTTTAACTAATTTGATCTTTGACGTTATTTCGATATACAGGGTGATGAAAAAATTATGGATGTGCTCATGTACGTTGTTAAGAAGGTATTGAAAAACTCGAAAAAATCCCCGCACCAAATTTTTGAAAATATTGAATGTCCAAGTTGAAGAATTAACTTCGTAATTCTGATTTGTTTTAACGAACTACAGTATAACCTCTAATCCAAACCCACGATTATCCGAACATCTAGTAATCCGAACAGAGGCTAGTTGAAGTCGATATCTCTTTAATCCGAACAAAAACTCTGCAATTCGAACTGAACTTGAAAACATGCACCTACTTGCAAAAATGATGCAAGATCTTTCTATACGCGTGTTGTATCGAATTTTTTGACAAGAAAAAGTATTTAGTTAAATTTCGAAAATCGTCGAAAATTTCTTGTCAAATAACCTAACCTCTAAGAAGATAAAAAGCGGGTGAGCCAGGCTAGTATTTGCCAAAATAAGACTCATTTTGGCAAATGACCTACTCTTCCAAGAAAAGGTACTAGCAACGCCCACCCACCCTTTATTTTCTTTGAAGAGTGGGTCATCTGTCAAAATCATTCTTATTTTAACAAGTACTATCCCCGCCCACCCACCCTTGTTTTCTTAGTTCTTATGTGATTTGCAAAAATCATACTTGCGAAAATAAGACTGATTTCCACAGATGACCTATTCTTTATTTTCTTAGAAGAGTAGGTCATTGGCCAAAATGAGTCTTATTTTGGCAAATACTAGCCCTGCCTACCCGCCATTAGTTTTCTTAAGAGAGTGATCATTTGCCAAAATCAGTCTTATCCGTAGTGAGTACTACTAGATTTTTCAGTTTTTCGGTTTTTCAACTTTCGAATTTTTCAATTTCTCGCTTTTTAAATTTCCAATTTTTTTATCTGTCTTTCTATTATTGATTTGTCTGGACAACTGAAAAAACTTTCGATTTTTTAATTTTACAATTTTGGCAGTTTTCCGATTTCTCAATTATTTGATTTTTAAAAATATGATGTTTCGATTTTTGATTTTTTGTCACCGAGCTTTTGGAAGGGAGAAAAAAGTAATTTTGATCAGCGATTTGCCACGTTTACCGTAAGTTTAAAACATCTGAAAATTTGTGTCTAATTTTTAATTTTTGGATTTTTCGATTTTTCAAAATTTCGGTTCGAATAAATTTGTTCTTTTAGTTAAAAAATCGAAAAATGACAAATCGTGAAAAGGAAACATTTTAACTTGAGAACTTGAAAAATTAATAATCAAAAAATTCAAAAATTGTAAAGTTAAAACTTGAAAAATCAGAAGGTTGGAATTAAAAACTGCAAAATTGTCAAACAAATTACCAAATGAAATATTCAAGTTGAAAAAGTTGAAAAATCTAAAAACTAAAAAAAATGAAAACTGGAATTTCGAATTCGATTTTATAAGATTTGTTTTTTTCAATTTGTCGATATTTCAGTTTTTGATTTTCCGATTATACAGTTGTACAATTTTACGATTTCTCATTTGTCCGATTTTTCAATTTGTCATTTTTTGATTTTTCAATTTTTTTGTTTTTAACAAGTGCTAACCCCTCCCACCCAGCCTTTATTTTTTTAGAAGAATAAGTCATTTGCCAAAATCAGTCTCATCTTGACAAGTACTAGCCCCGCCCACCCACCCTTTATTTTCTTAGAAGAGTGGGTCATCTGCCAAAATCAGTCTTATCTTGACAAGTATTTTCGGAAAATTCGGTGTGAAATTCGAATTTTTTGAATTTTTTAAAAATTGCGATATTTCAATGGCGATTTTTGAAAAACGGTTTAAGTTATCGAAGAAATGAAACCAGAAGTGACTTCTGCGACCCAAAATCTATATGGAAGTATTTAGTTAAATTTCGAAAATCGTCGAGAATGGGTGCATAAGGGAGGTAATACGAATACATAATGGGAAATTTCATCTTTGAAAAAGTCATCTAAAATTCTGATTAAATTTAGGGATATAGATCCCGACGTGTCGAATTTATTTATTCTCCATTGTTGGTTAAGAATATGTACTTTATTTCTTTAATAAAATTAAAGTTAATTTGAAATTTCCTTTTAAGCAGTGTATAAAGTTGTTATTCAATTCCCTTTCAGCATTTTGGGAAATTCGCTGATCCGAACAAATCGCAATTCCGAACACACCTTTCCCCAATTAATTCAAATTATCGAGGTTACACTGTATATGTCTAATAGACAATTAATTATTAATAATTTCATAATAATTGGCTAGAATTTTTTCAATTTTTATCGAATTTTAATTTTTCCACTAAATTCATATTAAAACATCAAAATTACGAAGTTAATTCTTAATTTTGAAGTGTATTAATATTGCCAAAAATGTGGTTCGGGGATTTTTTTAACCAACTTTTTGAGTTCTGTAGACCCTCCTTAACAACGTACCATCGAACAAATGCATCATTTTTTCATCGCCCTCTATTTTATTGCAAAAACACGTTTCAAATAAACGTCAGTCTGTACCACGGAGGTAGAAGAGACCGGAGGGAGCGTACCGTATGCTAGCAATGTAACGATTCTGGCATCGTTCAAGACCCGGTCAGACACCGGTTATGATCTTATTTGAACAAGGCACCAATATTTGCCAGCCCGACGCAAACGCGCTCCTACACTCAACAGCTGACAGAGTTTGGGTTTCCAGTGGCGTACTATCACGTAACACGTGCTGTTTATATGCAATTGTTCGTTCTTGAGTTTCGAGTTTAGTTGTGCTGTTTTAGTTTTGGACGTGTTGTTGGTGTTTTTAATTTGAATAGATTTTGATTATAATTAAAGATCATAATAACATTTAGAGACTTATATATAAGGTTGTCAACATAAAATATGTTGCCCCGCCACTGGTTATGACTGCTAAACATTTAGAGGGTGGAGCTTAGCACAGCGCGCATTTCAAGTAGGGTCATAAACGGTGCCTGAGTCTGTCACAAAATTCACGACACCTTCCCTCCGGTCTTTTCTACCTCCGTGGTCTGTACTAGTTCTTTAGATAGCCACAGTTCCACATAACATATTAAAAAAAATAAAGCTTTTAGAGTCCTTGTAATAAATGAATGACCTCAATTTATAGTCAACCCAAAAAATATTGGGAATTATCAGCATATATTTTTACTTTTATCTTGTATCACTAATAAAAATACATAAAAAAATTAAATAAATAACATTGAATCTTCATGTACAGAATGTTATTTAAAAATTGTTTAATTACTAGAAATTTCAACTATCGATATTTCAGTTTTTTTTTATATTTAGAACATCCTTGATTTTAGTACTGCATTGTATTCTATTTTGTGTTTCCTTTCTTTTTTGTTAAGTATTGTTTATATTTAAAGTTAATAGTTACTGCAATTTTTACTTTTTTAAGAGACATATCGACATATTGAAATAATAAGAATAAAAGAACAGTAATAAAATTTGAAAAAAATTAAAAAACTGAAATATCGTTATTTGAAAATAGTAAAGTTTTAGATCTTATATAAACACTCCGTGCATTCAAATTAGATTTATGGTATCACAACAAAGTAAAAATATATATATTTTAAAAAAACAGTCTGTATAAAAAGACTCACCCTGTTTATTAAAAATAAAGCATTTTAAAACAGGTTTACTGGACATCTATTAAATAATAACATTTAAAAAGCATAAAAAAGTATGAAGGGTGTTCAAAAAATGGCGCACCAAGTCAACGGTGCATTATTAAGTTCACAAGTCTAATAAGTACGAAAAAGTCGTTAAAAGATCCCGTATGTGATTTAGACGTTCACTTACAAAAACAAAATATCGATTGTGATAAATACATAAAAAAAAAACGTGAAAAATTAGCCACTGTTGTCAGATTCATTCTAAACATTTTTTTTTTAAGTTTCTTGTTATATTATAAAATGAAGAAAACAAAAAGTTCGATCGATTTCAGATACCGAACACAAAATAGTGAATTAAAATAGGGTGAAATTTTGAAAAGAAAAATTAAACTTTGAAGGGCTGTTTCTTCTATATTTGGATAAAAGATTGTTTTAACACCATGTATAATTTAATAAAAAAAAAAATTACAGGATACTGTTAAAAACAACAGAATTAAATAAATTGTTAATCGAGCATCTTTATAATAAATTGTGGCCTTTTGGACTTTATTCCATAAGTAGTGTTCACCTTGTATACAGAGTATTTTATCGCATATAATTCGTTCAAATTACTTCAAAACTATAACGTTATAGAAAATAACTTTAACGAAAATCAGTAAAAAGTCTATTTTTGAAACGTCATAAACTATAGTACTCTCGCTTTCTACGGAAATGAAAACTGTTCTTTTTTAAATAGTATTTTTTTACTATTTTCTGAAAATTTACTGTTTTAATGATGTGTAATAATAATAATACAAAATATACAGGGTGGGTCAATAAGTGCGCGGTTCTCGATATGTCATTAATAATAATTAGAGACAGAAAAAAGTTACAGACCAAAGTTGTACAAATACGGTCCTTTTATACAAAGTGTTTTTCTTTTGAGGCATAGCGTTAGTTTTTTTTTAAATAGAACACTATATTTTTACTTATGCGCTTTGTTGTGGTACTATTTACATAATTCAAGTATTATATATGGAGTGTTTATAAAGAATGTAAAATTCTAGAATTTTCAAATATGGAGATTTCAGTTTTTTTAATGGAACATCTTCCTCTATTTTCATTAATCCAATATGTCGATGTATCTCATAAAAAAGTAAAAAATCGCAGTATCTATCAACTTTAAATATAAAAAGTACTTACCAAAAAGGAGAGACAATAAAAAATAGCATAAAAAAAAAAATGAAATACCAATATTTGAAATTTGTAATATCTAAAAAATTGTTAATCGTTCGAGTATCTTTATTATAAATCTGGGTTTGTGAATTGTATTCTATAAGTAGTGTCCACTTTTTATGCAGAGTATTTTATGCCACATAATTCGTTCAAATTACTTCAAAACCATAACGCTGTACAAAATAACTTACTTTGACGAGAATCAGTAAAAAGTCTATTTTTGAAACATCATAAACTGTAGTACTCTCGCTTTCCACGGAAATGAAAACTGTTCTTTTTTTAAACTGTACTGTATCTTTTTTAAATTTTTTTGCAAATGTATTGTTTTAATTATCTAGAATACATAAACAAAATATACAGGGTGATTCAATAAGTGTTTTCGTTTTTGTTAAACGTTCTCTATATCTAAATGAAAAAACAATTATTCCAACCAAGCGGTATGGTTATAATTATTGTTAAAACATTATGAAAAAACTATTCAAAAAGGGGAAATTTAGTTCAGTTATATGTATGTATGTATGTCTATGGTTCTTTGAAAAGATTTCATTTTGTATTAGATCAACGTTTGAATAAGATCTTGTATTCGAATTTAACAGTTCCTAGTTAAGATTATTTTTCTTCAAGCATTTATCCGTTTTATTTCCAGTAATAAATATTTTATTGCTGTTAAATTATCTGCCTCCATGAATTATCTTTGTGTTTACTTGCCGTGTGTAAAATTGTTAACACAAATAAATTATAGTTATTATTATCGAAAAAGATAAAAGATATGAAACGTATGGTATGTCAAAGTTCCGCAAAACGTTAAAATAAAAAAAATCGATTTTAGAAAATTATTTAATCTATTTTTCCTTCAAGAAAAAAATAGATTTTTTACTTATTGCTTATACGTGTTATCGTGTTAACAATGTCAGATAATTAGCAGAACTGATTTTTCAGGTGGTGATTCTGCCGAACGCAAGAATAAATCAAAGATAGGCCTTGAAGACTTCCACTTCATTAAAGTATTAGGGAAAGGTAGTTTCGGCAAAGTGATGTTAGCCGAGAAGAAAGACACCGAAGAAGTATACGCTGTGAAGGTGTTAAAGAAGGACGTAATAATCCAGGACGACGACGTCGACTGCACAATGACGGAGAAACGCATCTTGGCCTTGGCCGCCAAACATCCATTTTTGACAGCGCTGCATTCGTGCTTTCAAACAAAAGACCGTTTATTTTTTGTTATGGAGTACGTCAACGGCGGCGATTTGATGTTCCAAATACAGAGGGCCCGAAAATTCGACGAGCCCAGAGCCAGGTTCTACGCTGCCGAGGTTACTTTAGCTTTACAATTTTTGCATAAGCACGGTGTCGTGTATAGAGATCTCAAATTAGATAATATCTTGCTGGACGCCGAGGGGCACTGTAAATTGGCGGATTTCGGAATGTGTAAGGAGGGAATTTTGGACGGGATCACGACTACCACGTTTTGTGGGACTCCGGATTACATTGCGCCTGAAATTTTGCAGGTAAATGGGGTAGAGAGGAGAAGTGGTGGAGGTTGTGTTTGTTGGGTTACAGGAATTGGAATATGGTGCTAGTGTGGACTGGTGGGCTTTGGGCGTGTTGATGTATGAAATGATGGCTGGTCAACCCCCGTTCGAATCTGATAACGAAGATGATCTGTTTGAGTCTATTTTACATGATGATGTTCTGTATCCAGTTTGGCTGAGTAAAGACGCTGTTAGTATATTGAAAGGGTTTATGACGAAGAATCCTAGTAGAAGGCTGGGCTGTGTGGTGGCACATGGCGGCGAAGCTGCCATTAGGGTGCATCCGTTCTTCAGGGATATGGATTGGGCCGCATTGGAACAAAGAAAAGTTAAGCCACCCTTTAAACCAAAAATTGTAAGTATTTTCAATATGTTGTTAATGTTATGGCGTAAAGTTCCATTTGAGTCCGGAAATATAGTCCAGAGTCAATAGATCTCATTGATCATTGATGTTGTATTGATTTTATAGTTTATATATACTTCAAGTTCAGCGTTCTATCAGTGGTCCTATATTTAATTTGTTAAATAGTTAAATGTGTTATCGACCCGTTGTACACGAGTCTGTATCATGTTTATGTTTGTGACTGAGTTAGGTTAACTTATCAGTGAAAATAAATTTGACTATTTCCATAATTTATAAAAGAACACTAGAATACAACCATCGCAAAACCTACTTCAGTTTTTTTTTTGACAAAAAAATCCCCCTTTGGAAAATTATGAAAATTGTGATTTTTATTTTCTGATAACCTCTATAAAGTAATGGCTATTACGTGATTTTCAATTCTTCAGTTTTTTGATTTGCGATTTTTTGAATTTTTAAGTTTAAATTTTTCAGTTTTTCAATTTTCTAACTTTTCAATGTTTCAGTTTTAATTTTCAATTTTTCTTTTACTTTTCAATTTTTTATTTTCTTATTTTGTTTTTTTGATTCTTCAATTTTTAGATTTTACAATTTTTCAGTTCAAAGTTTTCATTTCTTCAAATTTTCAATTTGCAATTTTTCATTTCGGTTTTTTGTTTTCTTTATTTTTACTAGGGATGTACCGACTAGTGGCCGACCGGTCGGATAAGCCGACTATTCGGCCGTTTTTCATCGTCGGCTGCAGTCGGCGACTAGTCGGCTAAACAGCCGATCGGTCGGCTTTTTTTTATTAAAATTAAAATAGTATATAAAACAATTAAACCCGGTTTACAGAACCTCAATTAAATATTTAATTGCGATCTAATTTTTAACCCCGCGTTAAAGTATCATGTGATCGACTCTACGCCAATCAGACGTCGCTAATGGCCTTCTTAAATGCGCGATCAATTTAAACTCAGTTAAAATATTGTATAAACTGGCCCTAAATTGTGTTATTCTTTATTTTTGTACTGAGTTACTAAAAAAAATTAAATGTTAAAATTATCCAAACAAATTTAACACATTTTTTGGAAAACAAAGGAACTTTAGTTATTCCTTTTATTAAAATAGAACAAACCTTTAAGGTAGCCAGAGAAATAGAAAAAAAAACACACTGTTTGTCGCATTTATAAACCGGTTTTAGCAAAGCCGAACAGTCGGCCGACTAGTCGGTTTTTACTGGCCGAACAATCGGCTAGTCGGTTAGTCGGCCAGACTTACAGTCGGTACATCTCTAATTTTTACAAACTTTCGGTTTTTCAATGTTCCGATTTTCTACTTTTTTGTTTTTTCAATTTGTCGTTTCTTCAATGTATCGATTTTAATTTTTCATTTTTTGTTGTTTCTTCAATTTTACGATATGCAATTCTTCGAGTTTTCATTTAAAAATTTTTCAGTTTTTCGCTTTTCCAACTTTTGGATGTTTCAGTTTTTAGATTTTTTTGTTCTTCAGTTTTTAGATTTTGCAATTTTTCATTTCGGTTTTTTATTTGCTTTATTTTTACAAATGTTCGGTTTTTCAATGTTCCGATTTCATACTTTTTTGTTTTTTCAATTTTTCGTTTCTTCAGTTAATCGATTTGCAATTTTTCGTTTCTGTTTTTATTGTCTTCATTTTTTAAATTTTCCGGTTTTTCATCGTTCTGATTGTATACTTTTTCATTGTTCAATGTGAATTTTTTAAAATTTTTGGATCTTTCAGTTTTTTGCTTCTTTAATTTTTCATTTCTTCAAATTCTCAGTTTGCATTTTTTCATTTCGGTTTTTTATTTGCTTTATTTTTTACAAATGTTCGGTTTTTCAATGTTCCGATTTTATACTTTTTTGTTTTTTCAATTTTTCGTTTCTTCAATTAATCGATTTTCTATTTTTTTATTTCTTCAATTTTACGATATGCAATTGTTCGAGTTTTCATTTTAAAATTTTCCAATTTTTGTGCTTTTCCAACTTAGATTTTTCAGTTTTTAGATTTTGCAATTTTTCGTTTCTGTTTTTATTGCCTTCATTTTTAAAAATTTTTCGGTTTTTCATCGTTCTGATTGTATACTTTTTCATTTCTTCAATATGAATTTTTTTGAATTTTTGGATCTTTTAATTTTTCGATTTCTAATTTTTCTGTTTTCAATTTTTCGATTTTTCAACTACAGATTTTTTAATTTTTCGTTTTTTCAATTTTACGATTTTAGAAGTTTTCATTTTTTCGATTCTTCAATTTTTCTTTTCTTCAGATATTCAAATTGCAATTTTTTGTTTTTTTTTTTTTATTTTCTTTATTTTTACTATTTTTCGATTTTTTGATTATATAATTTTTTGTTTTTTAAATTCCAGTTTTTTTAATTTCTCGTTTCTTCAACTTTTCGTTTTGCAGTTTTTCGTTTCGATTTTGATTTTCTTCATTTCTTCAATGTGAAATTTTTCAATTTTCGGATCTTTCAATTATCGATTTCCAATTTTTCGGTTTTCAATTTTATGATTTTAAAAATTTTCAAATGTTTCAGTTATCGGATTTTTAAAATTTTTCATTTATTCGACTTTTCAATTTTCTTTTATTCAAATCTTCGAATTGCAATTTTTGGTTAATTTTTTTTATTTTCGTTATTTTTACAATTTTTCGATTTTTCAATGTTCCGATTTTATAATTTTTTGTTTTTTAAATTTCAGTTTTTTTAATTTTTCGATTCTTCAACTTTTCTTTAAGCAGTTTTTCAATTTTTCTTTTTTTCTTTCTTCAATTTTACAACTTCTTTTTTTCTTGAATTTTCATTTTTAAAATTTTCAGTTCTTCGATTTGCAACTTCACAAGTTTTTCAATGTTTAGTTTTTTCATTTCTTCAATTTTTGGATTTACAAATTTTCGTTTCGGTTTATTTTCTGTCAATTTGTCGGTTCTACAATTTTCGATCTGCAATTTTTTGGTTTTCAATTTTTTCGATTTTTTTTGAAATAAAAAATCTGAAGATTTTGTAATTTTTCGTTTTTTCAATTTTAGATTTTTCAGTTTCTCGATTTTCCAGTTTTTCATTTCTGCAATTTTTGATTTCAGTTTTTCTAGTTTTCATTTTAAGCATGTTACAGTAAATATAATTTTAACAATTTTACGATTTTAGAACTTTTTTCTCAAATTTTTCGATTTTCCAAGTTTTGATTTTTCAATATTTTCGTCTTTCTCTCTCAGTGTTACAGTACAATTTTGACAATTCTATAATTTTTTGATTTGTTCAGCTTTTCGGTTTTTCATTTTGACGGTTTTTCAAGTTTTCGAATCAAAAAATGGAAAAATTGTAAAATTGAAAAATCAAACATGAAAATACAAAAAAAGTATAAAATGAAACCTTTGGAAAATCTAAAAATTGGAAATCAAAAACTTGAAAAATTGAAGAAATGAAAAATTCAAAAATTGAGAAACTAAAAAACGAAATAAGTATTGTAAAATTGAAATACTGCAAATTAAAGAAATCGGATAATTGGAAAAATTTAATAAACGAAAAATTATCAAATCGAAAGAAACTTTGAAAAAATAAAAGAAATGAAAAAATCTGAAAAATAGAAAACAAAAGTCAAGAACTTAAAAAATTGAGGAAACGAAAAACTGAGAAGTTTGGAAGTCGAGAAATTGGAAAATTAAAAAAATTAAAGTTGAAAAAATGAAAAATTATGATATCAAAAATTGGTCGAAGCTAAATACAGATTTTTCGAAAAATTATAAGATCTGAGAAAATAAAAATATGTACGTAACGTTAAAGTAAAGATAAAAAAGCGTTCCCAAATTTTCGGAAAAATTAAGTGAAGCGTGCTTGATTTAATTAATAAAATAAATTGCCTCATTCATCAATATTTTTTTAGTGATCCTGAATAAGTAATTCTAAAAATTATGAGTGCGTTGATAAACCACAAGTACGTAAAAAAATACATATTGTTTTCACCAATTCAAAAACTACCTTTCACATTTAGCTTTCTCTAAAGATGCCGAATATGGGTTTTTAGTTTTCTGGGATTGCTTATTTTCCAGTAAATAGCTCTATGTTTGTGCTTAAAATACAGTGTTGGTATTTTTTGCAGAAGAGTAAGAAGGATGCCTTGAACTTCGACGCCGAGTTCACGAAAGAAGAACCGGTCCTGACACCAGTTAGTAACGAAATCATCCATTCGATTAACCAAGAAGAATTTAAGGGTTTCTCATTCGTCAACAGAGACTTCAATCCTTCACGCTTTGTCGCTGAATAACTTTACCAAACCCATTAATATCCTTCATTATTGGTCCTTTAGTTCAAATTATCCGATCGGGTAAATCATAAGCTTGAAAGCTTTAATTTTTGTAAAACTTAAGGAAAGTAATACGCCAGTACTCATGTTACACTGTTATTACTGAAAATATTTATTATATGAAGAGAAGTTTATTTAACGATTGCAGATACCAGAGTTTATTTAGATCGTTTATATTTTGTATGTAAGTCAGATCTGAGATCGGTCTTTGATATAAATTCTATATTATAATTTCTAAGCTAAATATTCGTTAGAGCCCCATTTCATTGGAGCTACATCGTGCACAAATCTATTTTAAGGTGATGACGGTTCGATGATTGTGAAGTGGGGCTGTTCGGGGTTTCTGTGATTTTATGCTGAGACGCCAGAATTATTGTATTAACTCTAGTCACTGAATGGCCTATGCTCTGTAAATATCAAAAGAGTAAACCAGCAAGTCGGTCGAGGTTGGCCACTATAATGTTAATTATATATTATGAACTTTTATTAAATTAACGCACTTCTGCAGAGCCTTATATTGCGGTTTGTTCTTCCGAGGCCGAACTTGCCCTTCATAAGGACTCATTCATACAATATTGTCTTTCTGAATTATTATTTATTTGTATTGTGATATTGTGGGAATTTGCAATAGATTTAGTGTAGGCCGTTGCGCCATTTTTTCAAACATTCGTCGGTATCGTAAAGTCTAAAACGTAAGTAAGTTCTTGCTTGGACAGCGACCCGCACTAGACAGAAATAACAGTTTTATCAGTCACTTGTACGTAACACAAATACACGTAACGATACATATTAGGGAAATGTGCATTATTTTAAGAAAGCTTAAGTAGGTTGTTTACATTTTACCAAAGATTTTATTTATTATTTTTTAATGAAATGAGTGTGCAAACGTTAATACTATGTAGTTTATGTAGGAACTTGTAATTTATTTCGTCGGTTGCGTGCGAACGATTTCCGCAATGGCTTAGGACTGGTCTTTGCAAGATTTGAATGTGTGCGAGCCCTAACAATTAGTTCAACTTTGATCATAGCAACACAGAGTGTTTCAGTTCATTATCGCCATAACTAAGCTATCTAGAGAACATTGAGCTACATTTCAAGGAAATGTACATATTGTTAAAAGTAAAAAAAGAAAGTATATAACGTTTTAGATATTTATTAATGTGGAGCTTAGAGTAGTAGGTAAATTAATACAATTAACCCACGCTAATTTTAGTGTATGTCTAGATAATATCTATATCACAGATCAGTGTTAGCACCGAGCTGTTCAAGAATAACTTGAGGTTGGCAGTGTAAATTAGTGATTTAGTTCTCTAGTAGAGCATCAGAGTCCCTTTCACTCGTTCGGTTTTTTGCCGTTAAGGCGCGTGCTTGCATACGGTGTTGTGCCAAACCATGTTCACCCTAAAACCCGCAGCCTTTCCGCACCTCCCACCACTGTCTAAACCCCACTGTCGCATTGTTATTGTTTATATCATATTTGTACTAGCAATGTGTTGTAAATGGTGTACCTATTTCTCTGACGGTGTACTAAATTATAAATAAACATTATTTAATGTATTTATTTTATGGCGAATAAAATCGCTCAGCCTATCACGTTACAACACCATTTTTGATCTTCAGTACAGCAAAGTAATCAAGACAAGACTAAAAATGCGTTAGCTGGTTTTTAAATGGAACAGTCGTCCAAGAATCTGAAAGCTCTTTCTTTCCTCATATGGATTTTATAATGAAGATTTTTGAATTTTTTTTTCTCAATCCCTGATTCTGTTGTTATTAATCATTATTATCCCAACTTACTATATTCACGGAGTTGGATGGAGTGGAGAACATGTATCTGTGGCAGGTCAAATAATTTCAAGTTACTCAGTTACACTTTTGAATTGGCACTTAATGACTTTCCAAGTCTTTATATATGTCCCATTCAATCTTCTTAAATTCTCAGACGAAAGTTTTCTGGATTTTATACTCAACTCAATTTCAACTATATATATATAAGAATTCTGTTAAAATGATTCCATGAAGAGAGCGACAACATCTTGGATCAATCGAAAGTGGTTTAAGATCTTTTATCTTTTTATATTGTGGTGTCCCAATAATTAAATTTCATTAATTATTATTAAAGCTTTTGAACCGGTAATTTCTGAGGAAATATTGTATTATTGGAAGCGAATAACATTACAGAATCTGTACCAATAAATCTTCGTGTTATGGTTGACTAAACTTTGAGCATCCTCAAAATACCATAATCCCCAAATCCTCAAAACACCTTAATCCTCTGATCCTCAGAGCACCATAATCCTCAAAACACCATAATATTCAATCCTCAAAATAGGTACCATAATCCGCAAATCCCCAAAACAGTTTAATCCTCAAATCTTCAGAACAAGAACACCATAATCCTGAAATCCTCAAAACGCAATAATCCTCAGAACACCATAAACCTCAAATCCTCAAAACACCTTAATCCTCAAAACACCGTAAACTTCAAAGGACCTTAAACTTCAAATCCTCGAAATTTTCATATCTTAAAAATGCCAAGATACTCAAAACATCACAATCCTCAAAACGCTATAATTCTCAAAACACCCTAGTCTTCAAATCCTCAAAACACCATAATCCTCAAATCCTCAGAACTTCATAATCCCCAGATCCTCAAAACATCTTGATCCTCAAATTCCCAAAACACCATAACCCTCAAATCTTCAAAACACCATAATCCTCAACACCATAATCCCGAAATCCTCAGAACTTCATTATCCCCAGATCCTCAAAACACCATAATCCTCAAATCCTCAAAACACCATAATCCTCAAAACACTATAATCATCAAATCTTCAAAACACCATAATCCTCAAATCCCCGAAGTCGTCATATCCTGAAAACGCAAACAACGTAACCCTCATATCCTCAAAGCACCTTAATTTTCAAATGCTCAAAACACCATAATCCTCAAATCCTTTTTATATTGTGGTGTCCTAATAACTAAATTTCATTAATTACACAGTCGAACAATTTTTGAAACATTTCTTGTTACAAGCATTCTGAAAGGTTATTTTGTGCTGAATAACTATCTAATAAGACATTATGCCTATGTCGCCGTCGTCAAAAAAAAATTTTTTTGGAGATTGTTCATAGATAGTTCCAGTTAAAGGTGTACTACACCATAATGGGAATAAATATTTAGTACTGCCGACTGCATACTCCCTACAAACTGCAGAGACATATGAGAATATTCAACAGTTGTTAAACTGTATTAACGACAAAAAGTTTGAGTGCAATTTGATAGGCGATTTAAAAATTGTAGTTTTAGTGACTGGCTTCCAATCTGGACATACCAAGCATATGTGCTTCTTATGCAAGTGAAATACAAGGGAGAAAGCATTTCAACATCTGAAAACAATATTTTCTTAACTTTTTGCTGCTAACATAAACCAAGGTAAAGTCTAAAATATTACAGTGAATTTCAGTTTTCATATTATGTACGTTTTCTATATTTAGGAATTTCCATTGGGCCTGAAATTCGAATGAAGGATCAAATGTTCTACGCCTATTTGAATGATACGGAAAAATTTACTTGGGAATCAATTAGCTTAGCGATCAGTGAATTTTTAGGAAACAAACGTTCCACAAATTATGTCTGATATAAATTTCTTTGCTGATAATCTTTTCATCCAGAAATAAAGAAAGTCGAAGAAAGATTTAAGAGAAAGACCCAAGTATCCATTCTTTCCGAATACATGAGGCTTTTATAAAGAGTTAGATCCTTCTACATATTCTAGGCAGGTTAAATATTCGTAGACGTAATTAAATATCTGTCGACATAAATCTTTGGAACATTTTTTTTAGTGCTTCTTGTGCGTTTTTCTATATAAAATTAGAATTCAGTTCATTTTTTCTAATTGTTCACCGGACGACAATAAAAATTTGAATTTTTTTTTTGACGACATGGGTATATTATCTCTTTTAAGTATTGCTCTGCGCAAAATTACCTTTCCGACCATGTTTAGAAAATATATGTAATAAAAACACTGTTCTACTGTATTATTATATAGGAGTAGGTATTAAAGATTTTGAACTGGTAATTTCTGAGGAAATGTGAAAATGTGTTATATTGTATTATTGGAAGCGAATAACGATTACAGAATCTGTACCAATAAATCTTCGTGTTTTGGTTGACTTGAAACTTCAAATTTTCAAAATATTATAATCCTCAAAACACCATAATCATCAAATCTTCAAAACACCATAATCCTCAAAGCACGTTAATCCTCAAATCCTTAACACCATTGTCCCTAAATTATCAAAATACGTTAATCTTCAAATTCTCAGAACACAATCCTCAAAACACCATAAACCCCCAAATCCTCAGAACACCATAATCCTCAAAACACCATTTTCCCTAAATCATCAAAACACGGTAATCCTCAAATCCTCAGAACATCATAATCCTCAAAACACAATCATCCTCAAATCCGCGGAGCAGCATAATCCTTAGATCCTCAGTACACCGTAGTCATTAATCCTCAATACACCGTAGTCCTTAATCCTCAAAACACCACCATACTCAAACCCTCAAAACACCATAATTCTAAAATCCTGAAAACATCATAATCCTCAATCCTTAAAACACCAAACGCTCAAATCCTCAAAATACTATAATCATCAAATCCCCAGAACACCATAAACCTTAAATACTCAGAACTTCATAATCCTCAAATCCTCAAGACACCATAATCCTCAAATCCTCAAAACACCACAATCCACAAATCCTAAAAACATCTTAATCTTCAAACACTCAGAACACAATAATCCTCAAATCATTATTACACCATATTCCTCTGATCCTCAAAACACTATAATCCTCAGTCTCCAAAATACTAAAACAATAAAATCCCCAAAACACCATAATCCTCGAAATTCTCATATCCTGAAAACGCCAAAATCCTCAAAACAACAATTCTCAAATGCTCGAAACACCATAATCCTCAAATCCCCAAAAATAATCCTTAAATCCTCAAATCCTCAGAGCACATAATTCTTAAATCCTGAAAACACCATAATCCTTAATCCTCAAAATACCAAAATCCTCAAAACACACCACAATCCACAAATCCTCAAAACACCATAATCCTCAAATCTTTATACACCATAATCCTCAGATTGTCAACACACACCATAATCGTCAATTCTCAAAACATCAAAACCCTCAAATCCTCAGAACATCATAATCCTCTAAACACCACAATCCTCAAAACACAATCATCCTCAAATCGGCAGAGTATCATAATCCTTAGATCCTCAGAACACCGTAGTTCTTAATACTCAAAACACCAAAACCCTCAAATCCCTGGAATACTCATAATCTTGAAAACGGCAAGATCTTCAAAACACCACAATACTCAAACCCTCAAAACACCATTATCCTAAAATCCTGAAAACATCATAATCCTCAATCCTTAAAACATCATAATCCTCAATCCTCAAAATACTATAATCATCAAATCCCCAAAACACCATAATCCTCAAATATTCAGAACACTTTAATCCTCAAACCCTCGAAACACCACAATCCACAAATCCTCAAAACACCTTAATCTTTAAACACTCAGAACACAATAATCCTCAAATCCTTATAACACCATAATCCTTTAATCCTCAAAACACTATAATCCTCAGTCTCCAAAATACTAAAACAGTCAAATCCCCAACACACCATAATCTTCGAAATTCTCATATCCTGAAAACGCCAAGATCCTCAAAACAACAATTCTCAAATGCTCAAAACATCATATTCTTCAAATCCTCAAAAATAAACCTTAAATCTTCAAAACACAATAATCCTCGAATCCTCAGAGCACCATCATCCTCAAATCCTGAAAACACCTTAATCCTTAATCCTCAAAACACACCACAATCCACAAATCCTCAAAACATCATAATCCTCAAATCCGTAAAACACCAAAATCCTCTATCCTCAAAACACCTTAATCCTGAAATATTCAGAACACCATAATCCTCAAATCTTTATACACCATAATCCTCAGATTGTCAAAACACCATAATCGTTAATTCTCAAAACATAAAATCCTCAAATCCTAAGAACACCATGGCAAAATTTTCGAACAAGTTTACTGTTGGTGACGACCTTATTCCTAGTTTCTTGATTCGGGACTGTAGATACGTCTTAGCTAAACCGCTCTCCATAATATTCAATGCTGCTATCGAAAGCTCGTCTTTCCCGTCAGTATGGAAACGTGCAAAAATATGCCCGATTTTGAAGAAAGGAGATCCCTCCAAGATTCCTAACTACAGGCAAATTGCTATTTTATCGAACTTCTCAAAAGTGTTTGAGCAGGTGCTCTATTCAGCAATTTATAACCATGTTAAGAATTACATTTCACCACAACAGCATGGTTTTGTTTCTGGCCGCTTAACAGTTACAAATCTTGCTACAGTTAGTCAGTATCTTGCTGAAAAGATTGATAATCGTGGTCAGGTCGATATTATTTATACGGATTTTAGCCGAGCTTTTGATACAATTCAGCATAATATCCTATTACATAAACTTAGCTACTTTGGACTTACTGATAGTGCTCTGGCACTGATTCGATCTTATTTGTACGATCGAGTTGCTTATGTTTTTTACAATGGTTACACCTCAAGTGAATTCATCGTCGCATCTGGGGTTCCGCAAGGGTCCAACCTTGGTCCTCTATTGTTTATTCTATTTATTAATGATCTTCTATTGCAACTGTCTTGCCCAGCTTTAGCTTATGCGGATGATGTAAAACTTTATCATGAGATCTCTTCAGTGGGAAATATGGACTTGCTTCAATTAAATTTAAATAGGATTATTCAGTGGTGCGAAAGGTTCAAACTCAATCTGAATGTGGAAAAGTGTTGTACGGTTACTTATACGCGGACTCTGACACCCCTTAATACCTCTTACTATATAGATGATCATTTGCTCGAGAAAAAGCATAGTATGAAAGATCTTGGAGTGTGGTTCGATGCAAAACTCACTTTTCTTCCACACCTTGACAATGTGTGTAGTTCATCGCTTAAATCCTTGGGCTTTGTCATGCGTATCAGCAAATAATACTTCTCAGATATCAGTTTGATCAAAAAACTTTATTATGCCTATGTTTTGAGCAAACTTGAATATGCCTGCCTTATATGGTGCCCCATTTATGCATCGCATGCAATTGCCTTGGATAAAATTCATCGTCATTTTTTGAAGTTCCTGTCATTTAAGGTGGATGGCATTTACCCTGAGATCGGTATTGATCAACCTCAGCTATTACATCGACATGATATGGTCTCGTTGAGCTATAGGAGGGATCAAAGTTATGCTAAATTCGTATACAAACTGTTGCATAATCAAATCGATTGTGAATTTTTACTTTCAAAAATTCCAATTTATGTTCCACGCATCTCTTCGAGATCTGATGTTTCATTTCGTCCCCCGGCTGCAAGAAGTGATGTTCTGCGCAGAGCTCCCATCAACATCATGTGCAAGGCGGCTGATCGCATCTTTGACGACATTTTTGCTTAATTCCTGCTTAAATTCTTAATTTTTCTTTTTAATTTTTTTATTTTCTCTGTTAATTGTACAATATACATATTTTCAGTTAATTTATATTTGTGAAATATTATTACTTTATTTATTTGTCCTATAATTAGTTATTCCGTTGGACAATAAAGACTATTATTATTATTATTATTATTAATATTATTATTAACACCATACTCCTCGAAATTCTCATATCATGAAAATACCAAGATCCTCAAATCCTCATAACTCCATAAGCCCCAAAACCTCATAACACCATAATCCTCATACTCTCAAAATACCATAATCCTCAAATCCTCAAAACACCATTATCCCCGAATTATCAAAACATGTTAATCCTCAAATCCTCAGAACATCATAATTCTCAAGTGCCCAAAACACCATAATCCTCAAAACATCAAAATCCTTAATCCTCCAAACAGCAAAATCCTCAAATCCTCGGAATCATCATATCCTGAAATGGCCAAGATCCTTAAAACACCACAAACTTCAAATCCTCAAAATATGTATTATAATCCTCAAATCCTCAAAACACATAATCACCAAATTCTCAAAGCACCATAATCCTCAAATACTCAGAACTTCATAATCCTCAAATCCTCAAAACACCATCATTCTCAAATGCTCAAAACACTTTAATCTTTAAATCCTCAAAGCACCATTATCCCCAGATCATCAAAACCTGTTAGTCCTCAATTCCTTAGAACATCATACTTAATTCTCAAATCATCAAAACACCATAATCCTCAAAACACAATAATCCTCAAATCCTCAGAGCACCATAATCCTCAAATTTTCAAAACACCATAATCCTTAATCCTCAAAACACCAAAACCCTCAAATCCTCGGAATCATCATATCCTGAAAACGCCAACAGCCTCAAAACACCACAAACTTCAAATCCTCAAAACATATAATCATCAAATTCTCAAAACACCATAATCCTCAAATACTCAGAACTTCATAATCCTTAAATCCTCAAAACACCATCATTCTCAAATGCTCAAAACACTTTAATCCTTAAATCCTCAAAGAACCATTATGCCCAGATCATCAAAACACGTTAGTCCCCAATTCTTTAGAACATCATACTTAATTCTCAAATCCTCAAAACATCATTATCCTCTAATCCTTAAAACACCAAAATCCTCTAAACACCAAACCCTCAAATCGTCAAAACACCATAATCCTCAATTCTGAAAACACCAAAACCCTCAAAACACAATAATCCTCGAAACCCTCATATCCTGAAAACGCCAAGATCCTCAAAGCACCACAAACTTCAAATCCTCAAAATATTATAATCCTCAAATACTCAGAACTTCTTAATCCTCAAAACACCATCATTCTCAAATGCTCAAAACACTTTAATCCTTAAATCCTCAAAGAACCATTATCCCCAGATCATCAAAACACGTTAGTCCCCAATTCCTTAGAACATCATACTTAATTCTCAAATCCCCAAAACATCATAATCCTCAAATCCTCAGAGCACCATAATCCTCAAATCTTCAAAACACCATAATCCTTAATCCTCAAAACACCAAAATCCTCAAATCCTCAAAACACCATTATCCTCAAATCCTTAAAACACCATAATCCTCAATCCTGAAAACACCAAAACCCTCAAATCTTCAAAATACCATAATCCTTAATGCTCAAATCACCAAAACCCTCAAATCCTCGGATCATCATATCCTTAAAACGCCAAGATCCTCAAACCACCACAAACAGCAAACCCTCAAAATATTATAATCTTCAAATCCTCTAAACACCATAATCCACAAATCCTCAAAACACGTTAATCCTCAAATCTAACCCTCTAATCCTCAAAACACCTCAAATCCTGTTGGAAACTGAGGAGAATTCGATTGCTTAGATCAGAGCTATTTTTTTGTGTTTAAATTTTTGATGTTAACGATCACAGTTCAAAGCCAAATTTAAATTTTTTGCAGGTTTTCAGATTTGTTCACATGTCTGATTTTGGCGTGATGTTTGGGTAACCACAACATTATTATTATGATTGTGCTATCATTGATTTCACTACTCACATTATTGTTTGCGTTCACAATGTGGAGATTTTAGAAAAAGCATGTTTTTATATGTATGTACATAATATATCCATAAATAACACAGGGATCAAGTGTGTTGCACAATATTGAATCCTCTACGCAATGTGATGTAATCAAAATAAATTATCTAATTTTTGAAAAACAGTTCATTTATTTGCTTTTCCTTATCAAGCGGAATTAATAAAATAAATTCGAGAGACACGATACTATTAAACAATTAAACACTACTTGAACAAATTTCTTATCAAATAGGTAATTAATAAGAGTATTTTTTAAACGAATTTATTATGTGTACCATGTGAACTATTTATATAGCACACTACACTAAATAAAGATATTATATGGCCAATTTTTACTTTAAGTGGTAATTATTGTTATGAAATTAGAAGAATTACAAACAGAATTTTATCTACAACTATTTCTGTCTCTGTGTGACAATATTACATTACGAAATTACTCACTCGAACGTTGCCACGGATAATTTTATGTACCACGGGCGTATATATTTGTTTGCATAAAAGGAAACGACTCCCTCAGTTATCACTGGTGGGTTTATTTTACCCCGATTTTTAACCACTGGTTTCGTTAGAACTGGCTCATACACAACCTATGGTGAAAAGCAAAAAAAAATTATACATGCTGAAACAGGAATGTTTTAGTCAATAAAAATATTACACTGGATTAGTGTCCCTCTGCAGTGCTGCCACAAATATGGTTTGCTTCTGCTTTCATAATAGTCATGGTAAGTTTACTTACTTAAGCACTACTTAAGGTCACTCCAACACGTCTTTAAAAAAATAGAAAGCGACTTTATACATTTGTTACATCGCTAGTTTGTTTTTCAAGTAATGTAGATAATTACTACACTAACCTATGCTAGATTTTGTGAATATGTCTACAGTTTATCCAAATAGAAAATATATAAGAAAGGCTAGAGTATTGCAAGATTCATTACAAAAACTGAACTGGTTAAAGCAGCAACATTTAAAACGTATTATTATTATTATTATAACAACTTTTCGCATGAATGAGCGCATTTCTAAAAACCTTGGAAATCTCCTTGGTACTGGGATAATTGATCAAACAACGTCTTGTTATAGCAACAGAAAATTTTTTCCTGTTAAATTGAAAGTCATCCAAACTGAACCGCTATGGCCACGTATAAAATTAACCAAAACAAGCTATTGCAAGAGCTTGTAGCAGCAGTTGCTGAAGACAAAATGTACTGGGTGAGAAATGACGCTAAAATCAGGGCAGCCACCACATCGAAGTCTTATGACGAGTTTAGGTACGATAACTCTGTGAAAGTATAAACAAATTCTTATAAAAATTTCAACAGAGACATAGTAGCAGCCGCACACTTGCAGCCTATAAAAAACAAAGACAAAGAGAGAAGGCAGCGCAGCTGGAATACTTTGACAGACGGGAACTAAAGCACCTTCACTTTTGAAAACTATTCTATTAAATAGAAATGATTGGAACATGATAACAAAGTAAATTATATTTATATCAATAATAATAACCATCCCCAAACCATGTTACTATAGTATAGGAAACTGTCTTTATATCTATTAATAGAAATGTAAAAAATATAGTGCGACTTTGTTGGAATCATCAAGAAAACCCTACTTTCTGGGCTGCTGGATGGGGCACTGCGGTTTCATTGGATGATTAACAGCAGGTTTTTCTTTGTGGAAGCTCTGCACGGCTTCTGCCGGAAAATCTGCGTGACCTTTAGGAATGGCCCCAGAGATGGTCGTTGGCTTAGGAGGACTGCCTGAAATCGTGATTCCTGTGGTGTCTTCAGTCAAACCTCCCGAGTCTTTCCGGGTCTTGTGCTGCGTGATCCTCATGCCGCCAGCTTTGACTGATGGGGTGCAGATTTTGTTAATCAAAGGGATGCTGAGTGCCCTTGGGCTACTTACCTGCAGGGGGATGACCGGCTTTCAGTTCGCATTCGCTCTTGCCTGGGCTAGACATTTTTGTGCAATATGTTGCAAGTGTAAACACAAACACGTATTAACACGTCAACTTTCTGCTGCGTATTATTTTTACTCACGTTTACCTTCTTATCAATGTTTTTATGCAAATTTCATTATTTTCGACAAGGAAACCTTTGTTGAAAAATTGTGAGTTGTGGTTAACAGAGGACGCCACATTGGGGCCACTTAAATTCATCTTAAAAAAAATTAATAAAGCCACGGTAACTGATTTGGACATCGACTTATCAAAATTTATACAAAGATAAGCCGTTGTGACTTAGAAACACCAAAGCGACTTCTGTTATCTTATCGAACCAAAATTACCGAAATTACAGGTTTCTGTAATTCTGGAATGCCCGCATTGATTTATAGGTTATGAGAACGTGGTGTGGAAGTGTCAAAAGCAGCATATTTTTTACAAGAACTTAAATAAAAACACCTATTTTAAAACTAAAGTAGCGTTATTACGAAGCGATGGTGTTACTAGAAAACGACTCGGTAACTATTCCACATTTTTCCCCTCAGGAGCTCCATTTACTCGAAAAATTCTTTCAGTTCCTCTCAGAACTCACCAAGTTGTTCCAGAAAGCCAGACAAAGTGGTGCTGTGACAATGATTTTTAAGCGTTGTAAGTATGGTGTTCGGTTTTTGAAGAGTCGTTTTACATACTTTTCCTAGATGATGGGCGAGACCGTCCTATACCCAGAGATGGAAAAACGCCTTTACCCAACCCCCAGGAACATATGTGTTTAGTAAGGGCGAAGTCAAGGACTAAAAAAATTTCCACAGTGATTCACCAGAAAGACATAAATAAATTTCAAGTAGCGTATAGTAGTTTATTGAAAGGCAATTTGGATGGACTGAAAAAGTTAAAGAAATCCAAGACAAAGACGAAAGCTGAGTGATCTGAGATTATTGGGTGTTTTTTTTACAATTCTGGGGCAGGAACCGTGTGTACAAAACGGTTAGGATAAGATTTTGTGTGTGTTATAAGTATTTGTAAAATTTTAAGAATAATATATTAATTTTGTAAGAGTATACATATTTCATTTGAAATAAAAGATAAGCATCTAATTACAGTTTTCCTTGTGCTTGGTGGATGTACAGGGTCGATACAATACAATACTGACGAGTGCCTGAAGTGTCTAGCGTATAACTGGTTGCATAACTCACATGAATTTTAAGTTTAAATATATTTTACAGCGGGTTGGTTAGAACTAAAATAAGGGCACTTTTGTTTCCAAGACGAACTTACTTGTCCAGATGTGGCAAGGCAGTGGTTCGCACAATTTAAAAGCGCTTGATTTTTGAAACACTTATCACAGATTAAAATGCATATGTCCGTTTCGTCTAGGAAGGCTCCAGGGTGAGCTCCTAAACTACCGATCAGGAAGAAAACTGCCACAACTGTGAGAAATACTTGGTGAAGAGTATCTGAAAAAACAAAAAGTTGTATTAACAATAACGACACTACACTAAAGTATTTACGCATTTCGTCTGTACTGTATTTTTCTGTCAACTTTTTTGGAAATGCTGCCGCAGTTCCAAATCCTAATCACCAGTGGTTGCTCTACGAACTTATCAGCGTGTATGGAGAGTGACAGGGTTTTATATAGCTACAGAATTCCAATCGATGATTTAATTACTTAGTAAAGTAATCATCACCAATAGAGTTAAACACGTAAATAATTAATAGTCCTACAATGGCGCCATTAGAGCACATATCTATATAAATTATGGCGAGATAATGGGTTTTAATGGGGAAAAAGGGGCTTTGAGGGCCTATTAAAGCCAATTTGTTTGTTTGTTACATTAGTACATTTTTAATCTTGACCATGTTAAACACTCTCTTTGTAAAGTGAAAATCTCTCTTTTAAATTGCGTGTAAAGTATTGTTTACAAGAAATCGGATAAATGAACAATTTTTTCATTCTGTTTTATAAAGTGGTTACAACTCTACATTATAATTATAATTTTAATGAATTTTTATGGCAGCAATTTTTTTTACAACACATTTGGACTGAATAAAGGTAAATGTTGGTAAGATTGTGTCATACTTTTGATATATATTATACAATATAATTGTACCGAATAATATCAAAATATTTATTAATTGTCTCTAAGTATGTTAACTTAAATTTCATTATTTCGCAATTATTGAATTGATTATCCCGACTCAGAGTGTAAAATATGTACATAAAATAATGTTAGAAATAACGAACTATTTATAGGCATCTTTGTATATTAAAAAAGAAGTTTACGTCATATAGCGCCATTCTCGGTATAATATGTGTAGTAGGGTTTACCACAATATAATATATCTGACGATTGTTGGCCTATCCTGTTTATTTTTTAACTGTATTCGCCGAATATTCCGCACATAATCATTATTTATCGTAATCAGATTTCTTTGAATAGGGCAGTAAATCTGGTGAAATAAATATTTGAGAACTGATTTGTTATTGTTTGTAAATATTTGGCCTTAAAACGTATGAAGAGTGGATACATTTTAGAATTTGTATTATTTTTAAGAATTTGAAGCTTTCGGAATTGCATTTGTAATTTAAAATAAACAGTGATGTATGTGATAACGTACGAGGGCTACGAATTCTGTTAAATTCAAAGTTATCAGAGTCAGAACAAACACTCGAAATTAATTCATAAAATTTATGTGTTCTTTCAGAAGCTCAAAATAGCACTTGCCTTCTGAGTGCTACAAACCATGCGACCTATCAACACTTTTATTTCCAGAAGGTAGGAAACTTTACAGCAAATTATCGCATTTACCTTGTTTTCACCACACTACAACTTTGACTTTATGGTATGGAAGCACGACATTTCGTGTCGTTTCCATTTACAGAAACATCTATCCACTGTCTAGAAGACTTTATCACAAAAAACAAACAACATCTATTTTTACAGCATTACTTTTGAAAGTCAGCTCAACGGGAATATTAAATGCGGCACATTATGTCAAATAAAATATAATGTATTTTTTAACTCCACTCTCGTCTGTTATCTCCATTTCGAGATTTCCAACTATAACCGACTTAAACGTGCTGCATCTAAAAGCTTTTGCATTAAAAAATCCGGACTAGTGTACGATGTGTAATAAAAGAATTTATGCGATAAAAAAGGATGACGAATTATGGCTTGTCAAAGAGTTTTTAAACTGGTATGTTCTTTTAGCAAAAACATTGTTGATGCAAATCGCGTTTCAGCAGCGACCGGAGCTTATTGTGTGTCTGGAAGTCCTCCTCAAAAGCTCGTTTGCGGAGCAGTTTGAAAACCTGACGTAATTAACCCAAGATTGACTCGTTGAAGCGTAAAGTTAATTCGGTCGGTTTCAAAAGTTTATTATTTATCTTTTGTGGTTTGGAGATAATATCACTGACACAAATTGCCAGTAGAGTAGATGATAGGTTTACATCTTCCTCATTCATGAATGTTAGTGGCAATTAATAAAGAGATATAGTTTGACGTTGTGGACATTAATATCAATTATGTTCTCATGTACCTGATGCGAGCCACGTTTATCGATTGCTGTTATTTGGAAAAATGATAATTGCCTTTCGTAGATCCAATAAACATTACGCCCACTGTAACAAAGTGCGTGTAATTGTTGGGCAAACAAACTCATCCGAAATTGTTTCGTGAGAGGATCCATCACTTATCTTTCACAGACCAGACATTTTTAAATAATGCATCACATACATTAAACACATATATTCCATTTCCTCTATTCCTTTACTAATTAAACTTGGAAAGCATTCGAGACAACGCTGAATAAATTAGTAGCGTGCTTTAATTGCCGTTTACAGAGACCACAGCAAGCTAAAGCTATTAGATGGCGCAGTGGCGGAACCAAACTGTGTAAAAAAACACGAACTCCTTACATGTTAATTGTAGATTAACACTTGAAAGGTGTTAGATTCTCCAACAATCTAATTTTATTCCCCCAAAATGTGCGCGTATGACGTTGAACGGATTGGAGGAACTTTGCTTTGAAATAACGGATAAGTGTGTACAGGAATTCTTGCAAATGAGTAAGAACTAAAAGAACATTTTATTGTATTAATTTTTTAAGTGGTAATTTTACAGAAATTAAAAAGTCTTGTATCACATTTGTTTACTATGAGTGTTTTTTTAAGGAGCAAATAGGGTTTGTTTTGAAATCATTAAAAGTTAGACGGGCTTTTTATCCCGAATACACAATTTGTTAAATGTCAATTTCTGTGTCACCTCTACTCAGTTTACGATGTATAAAAATAAAAGGTCAAGAGGTTCTGCTCACTGAATAAAACGCAAAGTTTAGTACGACAGCTTAAATTTCAAACAACTTAACTTGTATAATAATTATTAATTTATTTGAATTTGCTAGTTTTTTATTACCTATTACTCGACGTTTCATGACCACTAGAGCACGATTTCGTCTATCCGTCTGTCTGTCCGTCCGATTTTTATTAGACAGATAATCTCCGAAAACTTTGTCTGCATGTTAGGATTATCATGTATAGATGGTAAAACGCTAACCAAAATTTGTCTGCTCATCCACACCAACGATGTAATGACGTTATCTCCAAATTTTACACTGTAATAAATGTTATAAAATAACGTACTCATGGTTTGTGGTTGCTGAATTCGTGTTGAGTTTCTTCTTAAGCATCTAGATTTTCGGAAAAATAATCAAAACTGTATAACAACATTTTACAATTTAATTTTGAACTTGCAAAATCGAATGCTTTGTTTTTTTAAGGTTATCGGAAGCATATAAATCGTTAATCAAAATTTGTGTGTTCATATCTCCCCAATCAGGAATTTCATGATACAATTTTTTCGAATAAATATTATTTAAATGTTAAAAAGTATCATAGTTCTGAACGTGTGGGTTATGAATTCGGGTTGAATTTTTATCCTAGACGTCGACATTTTTGGAAATAAAACAAAATTGTGGACATAACAATTTTTCTATTTGTCGTGTTGAATTTTTATCCTAGACATCGAAATTTTTGGAAATAAAACAAAATTGTAGACATAACAATTTTTCTATTTGTCAATTTTTTATTATTTCGGCTCTTCGATTTCTTGATTTTTCGAAATTTTCGGTTTTCGATTTTTTTATTTTCCCATTTATCGATTTCTAGACTTTTCACTGTTTTAATTTCTCGATTTCAGGAGTTTTCAATTCTTCAATTTTTCGAGTTTTCAGTTTTTTTTATAGGTTTTTAGTTTTTGAATTTTTTACTTTTTTAATTTTTAAAATTTTTGATTTTTTGAGTTTAATTTTTCGATTTATCGATTTTTCAATTTTTGGATGTTTCAGTTTAGGATTTTTCAATTTGTCAAGTCCGCAGTTTTTCTTAGATTTTCAGTTTTTCAATTTTTGAATTTCTCGATTTTCAGTTTTTCGCTTACTCAATTTTCGAATTTATCAATTCTTTAATTTTCCCCTTTTCTAAATTCTAGATTTCCCAATTTCTGGATTAATTGATTTTTTGATTTTTCGACTTTTCGAAGTTCGGCTTTTCGATTTTTTGTGCTTCCCATTTCTCGATTTCTCGTCTTTTTACTGTTTTAATTTCGCAATTTCAGTTTTCAATTCTTCAATTTATCGACTTTTCAATTTTTTTGCGAGATTTTGGTTTTGGAATTTTTAATTTTTGATTTAGAGTTTGATTTTTCAATTTTTCAATTTTTGGATGTTTCAGTTTGGAATTTTTAAATTTTTGAAGCCCACAATTTTTCTTAGATTTTCAGTTTTTCAATTGTTGAATTTCTAGATTTTCTGTTTCTCGCTTACTCAGTTTTCGATGTTTCAATGTTGGGATTTTTCAGCTTTCCGAATTTTTCAGTTGTTAATTTTATCAATTTTTTAATTTTCGGCTTTTCGAAATTTTAGATTTCTCAATTTCTCGATGAATCGATTTTGTGATTTTTCGACTGTTCGCTTTCTCGATTTTTCGAAGTTTTGAATTCTTCAATTTTTCGACTTTTCATATTTTTTTCCAGGTTTTTAGTTTTTGAATTTTTTAAATTTTCGATTTTTTGTTTTTAATTTTTCGATTTCTCGATTTTTCAATTTTGTTTGGGATTGTTCAATTTTTTAAGTCCGCAATTTTTTTCAATTTTTCGTTTAGTTAATTTTCAATCTTTCAGTGTTGGAATTTTTGAATTTTTAAATTTTCGATTGTTTGAGTTTGATTTTTCGATTACTCGATTTTTCAGTTTGGGATTTTTCAATTTTTCAAGGCCGCAATTTTTCTTAGATTTTCAGTTTTTCAATTTTTGAATTTCTCGATTACTCAATTTTCAATCTTTCAGTATTGGGATTTTTCAATTTTTCGAATTTTTCGTTTCTTAAATTTCCCAATTCTTTAATTTTTGGCGTTTCTAAATTTTAGATTTCCCAATTTCTCGATTAATTTTTTGATTTTTCGACTTTTCCCTTTCTCGATTTTTTCAAGTTTCGGCTTTTCGATTTTTTGATTTTCCCAATTGTCGATTTCTCGACTTTTCACTGTTTTAATTTCTCGATTTCAGTTTTGAATTCTTCAATTTTTCGACTTTTCAATTATTTTTCCAGGTTTTTGGTTTTTGAATATTTTAATTTTTTAAATTTTCGATTGTTTGAGTTTGATTTTTTGATTACTCGATTTTTCAGTTTTTGGATGTTTCAGTTTGGGATTTTGCAATTTTTCTTAGATTTTCAATTTTTGAGTTTCTCGATTACTCACTTTTCAATCTTTCAGTATTGGGATTTTTCAATTTTTGGAATTTTTTGTTTCTTAAGTTCCTCAATTTTTTAATTTTCGAAGTTTCGGGTTTTCGATTTTTTTGATTTTCCCATTTCTCGATTTTTCGACTTTTCACTGCTTTAATTTCTTGATTTCAGTTTCCAATTCTTTCCTTTTTTCTTCTTTTTCATTTATTTCCATGTTTTTGGTTTAAGAATTTTCGATTTTTTAGTTTTTTTTTGAATTCTCGATTTTTCAATCTGTGGATGTTTCAGTTTGGGATTTTTCAATTTTTTTCAAGTGCGCATTTTTTCTTGAATGTTCAATTTTTCAATTTTTTAATTTCTCGATTTTCAGTTTTTCGCTTACTAAATTTTTCGATCTTTCAGCGTTGGAATTTTTTAATTTTTCGAATTTTTCGTTTCTTAGATTTTTCGATGTTTTAATTTTCGGCGTTCCTAAATTTTAGATTTCTCAATTTCTCGATTAACCGATTTTTTTATTTTTCGACTTCGCTTATTCGAAGTTTCGGCTTTTAGAGTTTTCGATTTTCATATATCTCGATTTCTCGTAGTTTAAAATTTTTTTTCTAGGTTTTTGGATTTTGAATTTTTGAATTTTTCGAATTTTCGATTTTTTGAGTTTGATTTTTCGATTTCTCGGTTTTTCAATTTTTGGATATTTCAGTTTGGGATTTTTCAATTTTTCAAGTCCGTAATTTTTCTTAGATTTTCAATTTTTCGATTTGTTGATGTTTTGATTTCTCGGTTCGTCAATTTTTCGTTTCGTCAATTCTTCGACATTTCTATTTTTCAAATTTTCAAATTTTTAAACTTTAGTTTTTCAGTTTTTTGATATTTCGATTTCTCGATCTTTCGATTTTTACACTTCTAGGTTTTAGATTTTTCGATTTTTCAATTTTTCGATTTTTAAAATTTCGATATCTTGATTTATAGAGATTTCGAGGTTTCAATTTTTAGATTTTTTGATTTCTCAGGTTTTTGATTTCTCAATTTTTCGATTTTCAGTTTTGGGATTTTTCAATTTTTCTTCCAGTTCTCAATTTTTTGATATTTTAGTTTTGGGATTTTAAATTTTTTTGATTTTTTGATGGTTCAATTTCTCGATCTTCCGGTTTTTAGACGTTTCGGTTTTAGAATTGTCGGTTTTTAAATGGTCCGATTTTAAAAATTTTTGTTTTTTCAACTTTTTAGTTTTTCAGTTGTTAAATGTTTCGATTGTTCTTTTTCTAGATTTTTTTGATTTTTTGTTTTGTCGATTTGTTTCTAATTTTTTCAATTTTTAACTCCTCGGTTTTTCGATTTTGAGCTATTTCGAAATCTCAGTTTTTCCATTTTCTCAATATTTCAGTTTCTCAATTTTTACATTTTTTGGTTATTCGATTTTTCGGTTTCTTGGTTTGCTTTTTCTGTTTTAATCTTTCAATTTTTCTATTTTTTGATGTCTCGATTTCTCGAGTTTTCACGTTTTCGCCATTTTAATTGTACCCTTTTTTAAATTCTAGGTTTTTCCGTTCTTCAATAGTTCTATTTTTCCACTTTTCGAATTTTTAAAATTTTACATTTTTCGATGTTTCACGATTGACACTCGGTTTTTCGATGTTTTAAAATTTGTCGACTTTTCGATTTTTAGATTTTTCGATTTTCCAACTTTTCAATTTTGAGGATTTTTCAATGTCTAGATTTTTCAATTTTTCGATTTTTCCAAGTTTCGATTTTTAAATTTTTTTAATTTCTTACAATCTCGATTTATTGATGCTTCAATTTTTCGATTAAATTTTTCAACCATTTTTTTTATTGTTGTTTATTTAGCAGAACTTTGTAAATATAAATTCTATTCACTTCCTCACTTCACTTAATTAATTAGTTCTTAATTTTGTTTAACTAAATTTAATTTTCTTTACATTTTCACGGTCAGGTCAGCACGCTTCGGTCACCTCTGTTAATTAATTAGTTGTTAATTAAGTTTAAATAAATTTAATTGCAAATTAACAGTTTCTGTAGCATTTCAGTGCCAATTAGTGTGTGATTAATTATTGTCGGTTACGCTACATTTCTGTGAACAACTTTCATGTAATCAAAATGATCCATTTCACATTCATATGAATAGCAGTTGCCTTGCTCGTGACGTAAAGTGTCGCACTCATGGGAGTACTATTTTGTGCTCACTGTACAATATACAATTTTATGTTCATGGCGCATCATATGAATTGTGAACTTAGTAAGTTTTATTTTTATCTTGGTTATATTTTGATGATTAAGTTGGTTCACAGTGTGTTTTAATTTTAAATATGACTACTTTCTTCGAATAAAAGATTGTTCGTGTATTTGTTAGTATTATTCTTTGTTGAAAAGTTCATCGCTTATTTAATTTTGAGAGTGGAGTTTTGTAAATACACATACAACCAATTATTACTGTTGTGTTTGTTTTGTTGCTTTTAATGAATATAAAAATGGAAACGAGAAAAGTAATTTACAGCAGGAGTATTTTGCAATTCCAGAAGAACTCCTAAAGGGGAATTTGATGTTAACACTTACTGGCCAGAACATTAAAACGAAACAAAAAAATCTGATATAATTTCTAATGTAGTCAGGCATTGTAGGCCTCTGTTCTAGGTCCCCTGCTTTTCTTAATTTTTCTCAATGACTTTCACTTCTTAATGGATCATAAATCGTTATTATTAGGCACGGTATTGGTACGAATAAAACTTAAATAAGTAATTCTCGCGACTGCCGGCTCAGTTGCGCTTTGCGTGCAGCCACCCCTAGCTGCGCCGCTGATTGAGTTTACTTTTTCTTTCTGTGGCACTTCAAAGACCTAGAATTTTCCTTTTTTAATTAAACAAAGTGCTTCCACAACGTCCCACTCCGTATTAATTCAATCAATTAAAATGAAATGTTTGTTTGGTGGGTCAAAGGATCTTTATTTGCGGCGACGTGAGTCCACTCGACGTCTTTCACACATGTTGCGGACCACCTCTTGGTGTCAATCAAGAACGCTACGAATTCGTATCGATCGCGATAGCTGTCGGTTGCTTAGCGAGCTGTTTATTATTAGCAAACAGACCGTTAAAGGTCTGTCAAGTGTTGAAAGTTTTTAAACTCCTGCAAATGGGAGATGATAGGGCTTCCAAAGCAAGTGCTGCGAGCTCCGTAGCAAGCGCCGCTCCAAGTGAAGCGAAGAAGGCTGCTGCTCCTAAAGCAGAAGCTGCCAAAGCTGATGACACGAAATCCGTGAAATCCACAAAATCTACCAAGTCGAGCAAATCTAAAAAAGATGAAAAGGCTCTTGACGAAGAAGAAGTCGATGAAAGACTTGAATTTATTCTTTCGTACTTTACGAAATCGTATCGCCTGAAACAAGAAAAATGGACGAAGATGATGGCAGCGGATGAAAATAAGGTAACGCCTCGTTGTCAAAGTGTGAGTAACTATTTTTGTATTGTAGAAAATGATTTTGAAATTTTTGGACAACCCGAAAGAGAAGTTCTTGATCATGACTATCACCGCTGCAGGACTATTGACACCATTTACTGAGTTCAATAATCAAATCAAGTCTAAATACACCTACTTTATCAAAAAGAGGAAGGAAAAAGTGACGATAGATAATTTCTGCGATGTTGTGCTTTTTGGTGATATGGCAGGAAAGCCAATTGAAGAACTGTCGGTTCTTTTAGACACTGTTCTAATCCCGTTGCTGGCAAACCCTGGAAATCAGACTAACTGGCCTCAAGTGGTTGCAGATGATGTTGTAGCTCATGTCAGAACCTTCAGAAACGCAGTGGAACAAGTAAGTTGACCACATTATTGTTACGATTTTGTGACATTTCTTTGTTTTATATTATTTAAGTGTTAAGAACGTGTCTTTCTAAAGTTTTTTTTTATTCTTAGCTTAAGGGTGCCATGAAGAGCCAAACTGTGCTTCCAATGCCTCAAGGCATGTCGAAGCTTTTCGAAGCAATCACCCAATTTGAAGACTCTGATGGTACTAGAACAGATCTAGTTCTTAAAGCGTCGTTGGAAAGTGGTGTCACTAAATGGTCAACTGTGTGCAACGAAATTCTGCGCCAGTCTTCTACCATTGCTTTCGACGGAGGAAATCATCCATCGCCGAGTACCGAAGTGGCATTCTGGAAAGCACGGTTAAAGAATCTAGAGTTTATTTACGACCAGTTGAGGGACCCTCGAGTCAAACAAATGGCAAAGTATCTTGAAATGACCAAAAGTGCTTACACCTCCACGTTCAAGAAAGTCTTTAAAGATATAGTTGCTGGTGTTGTCGAGGCTAGAGACGTTTGCTTGTATCTGAAGCCTCTGGTTCCCCATTTTGCCGCATTTGAGGACAACGAGCTTCTGGAAAATGAGAACAAGATTAAACCGTTGATACACTGTATGGGTCTGGTTTGGGCTAATTCCAAATACTACTGTTCCAATGAAAAAATGGTCATTTTGTTTAGAGAAATCGCCAATATGTTGATAGACGCAAGCAATCGTCAGTTGGATCCTGAGTCTATTTTTCAAGGAGAACCTGACGAAATGTACGAAAAAATTGTCAAAACTATAGACATTTTGGATTTTTTTATGGAATCGTTTGAGTTTGTGAGAGATAATCTGGCTACATATTTCAGAAAAGAAGACGAAGAAATGCCTCCTCTTTGGACGTTTCACAAAAGAACTGTTTTTCAGAGACTCATCGACTTTGTCAATCGCTTAAAATTGATAAAAGGGATTCTCGCAACTAATTTAGGATTTAGTAAATTAGAAAAGGTGGAATTTGGTGGGATCAAAGGAAGATTGTTGTCTCAAAAGTGTGAACAAATTTTTGACGAATTTGGTAGCGCTTACAGCGTTTTTAATAATATTCAGTACGATCCTTGTGATATTGCTGACGATAGTATCCTTAGGGATAATGACGAGTTTTTTGCCAGATGTGCTGATTATGATAAAAGATTAGCTGCGATATTTTCTCAAGCGTTTGACGATTGTTACAATCTTGAAAGTATTTTCAAATTCCTTGCAGTCATTGGAAATTTGCTTGAACGGCCTGTCATCAGAAATGAAATAACACCAAAGTATCAAAGGATTATTGATATTTTTAACGAAGAACTTGATACGGTTAAAGTGATCTACGACGAAGGAAAAAAGAATGGAGTGCCTATTGATAAGAACTTTCCCCCAGTGGCGGGTACTTTAATGTGGCTTTTCAAGCTGAGACAAAGAATTGAAAAGCCTGGGGAAGATCTGAAATTACTTGAAGACGATATTATTAAAGAAGAAGAGGCTCTTCACGTCTTTGATAAATACGACCATATGTTAAAAATTCTGGAAACTGATAGTCAGCAAACATTTAATAAATGGTGTAAATCAATTCCAGCAGAGATAGAGGCTAGTATAGCAAAATTCGAGTTGATACGCAAACCGAACGATTTAATATATCTGAATTTTGATGATCAGTTAGTCGCTGCTCTGCGAGAAGTCAGGTATATGAAATTTTTGGAGCTTCCGGAAATTCCTCCTGAGGCCGTTGAGTTGTATGAAAAAGTAGAACTGTTCTTCGACTGCCAACAGAAGTTTAACAGAGTTGTGGAATGGTATAACCATCTGAAAATAAGTACACTGCCAGTGGAATATAATTTAATTGAGGCCGAAATGAAAAAAGTTGATGAAATGTTAGAATCAGTCATATCTGTTATAACTTGGAGTACGCATGAGAATGAGACTTTAATAGCGATATATGATAAAGTAAAATATCTTTACGACAGAATTAACCAATGTCAGAAGAATCTGACCCAAATTAATACTGAATTGGATGCATGGGTCAATTTCCCTCTGTTCGAAAGAAGAGAGGGCAAGAAAGAAAATTTGCTATATTTAGAAGATCGACACGAACGTTCTATCAAGCGATATAATCAAATTGAGACCACGTACGAGGAAGCTAAAAGAATGTTGGCGGAGAATTATCGACTATTCTTCGATATTCCTGAAGTTGTGGAAGAGCCCCCTCCTGAAGAAACCTCTCCGGAAGAAGAGTCGCCCACTGTTGAGACCCCAACTCCACGGAAAGGCAAAAAAGGGAAAAAAGAAGATGACGAGAAAAAGGAGAAAGCAGACAAGAAAGAAAAACCGAAGAAAGAGAAAGAGCCGGAGAAAAAAGAAAAGGACAAGAAGGGAAAGAAAGGAAAGAAGAAGAAGAAGTCAGTTGAAGAAGAAGCGCCACCGCCAGAAGAAGTGGTAGTTGATACTACTGAAAGCGAACGCCAAGCAAACTGGAGAAAATATTTGGAATATATTGACGAACTTGTTAAATCTAAGTTGATCAAAGCGGTTTACAATAGTTTAATTTACATTATGAATGAAAGCGGTGACGTAGTACCAGTTGTGCCTTTGTTTGAGTTATCTTTAGAGCTTCACGACCCGATGATCAATTTTGTACCATCTATCGACTTAACAGACGAGGACAATTTTGTTGAAGATATGACAGCCTTAATTGAGGATATCTTTAAAATGGGAGAAGTTATGAAGCGAATTGATCCAGAGAGAGAGGAATCTGATTATTTTAAAGACGTTAAATCTGATCCTACTTTAGCTAAAATGACTGAAGAGATTTTAAGCAGGGTTATGCTTATGAGGGAAGATGCATACGAATATCTTAAGGAGTTTGACGAATACGTACATTTCTGGACTGACGATAGACAAGAATATCTTCGACAATTCTTAATGTTCGGCAGACTTTTGAGTCAAGAAGAACTCGAAAGAATTGCGGAACTTAAAGAAACTCCCCCCACTGTTCCTCAGTTTAAGGAACAAATTGACCATTACGATGACATGTATAAAAAAATAGAGGGAATGGCTGATGATCACATATTAGATGGTGACTGGACGAGAGTTAATGTTAGACCTTTGAAGCAGGCTATTCTGAATACCATTTGTAAATGGGGTAACTTGTTTAAACAACATCTTTACGATCGTGTTATTAATAGTCTAAACGAACTGGATAGTTTTATCGTTGAAGCCATTCAAGCCATGCAAGTAGAACTCGCGGAAGATGATTACGATGGTTTAATAAAAGTCATGGGTTATCTATTTAAAGTCAAGGAAAGACAGCTAGAGACTGATAACATGTTCGAACCGCTGAAAGAAATCATGGATTTACTTTTTGAATACGGAATGGAATTTCCTGAAGAGGTACACGTTCAACTTCAGGAGATCCCAGACAGATGGCAGCAGTGCAAAAAGGTTGCCGCAACAACGAAACAAAATGTTGCTCCACTTCAGGCTCTTCAAGTCAACGCGATCAAAAGACGTATTAGCCTGTTTGAAATACGACAAGTTATGTATAGAGACATGTTTAAAAAGCTTCCATTTTTCAACTGGAACTGCAAAAATGTCTATAAATTGTTAGACAAAACAAACGGTGAACTCGTGGAATTAGAAGCTGAGATGGTGAAGTTACAAGAACAAGCTAATTTGTTTGAACTGACACTGCCTGAATTCAAACCTATGAATTCTGCACGGAAGGAAATCAGGCAAATTAAACAACTGTGGGATTACGTTTTTATATTTAGATCGTGTATCGACGAGTGGAAGAAAACACCTTGGAAGAAAATCGACGTTGAGGCTATGGAAATGGAATGCAAGAAATTCGCCAAGGAAGTCCGTCAAATGGACAAAGAATTGAAGGCTTGGGATGTTTACGTTCAGCTAGAAGCAGCAATTAAAAACATGATGACTTCTTTGAGAGCAGTAACGGAATTACAAAATCCAGCGATTAGAGAACGACACTGGAAACAACTTATGCAGGCAACAAAGGTAATTTTTATTGATACTTTAGTTACAAGTTACATTCAACTCGTTTGCCCTCTTATACTGCTTGCTTAAGGCTCAAGAAAGACTGCCATCATATTACACAGTGAGTACAAACACTGCAACACAAGACTGTTTCATACCCTATTTTTAATAAATTTTTCATAATTACCGTGTTTCCATAATGCCCTTACACATCTTATTCCTAGGTCCGCTTTGTCATGGACGATTCCACAACTCTCAGTGAATTACTTGCTTTGAATTTGCATGAATACGAGGACGAAGTCAAGAACATCGTTGATAAATCCGTGAAAGAAATGGCGATGGAAAAAATTCTCAAAGAATTAAACGCAACATGGGTTAACATGTCCTTCGCTACGGAGGTTCATGAGCGGACTAACTTGAAACTTTTAGTGGCATCCGAAGAATTAATAGAAACGTTGGAAGAAAATCAAGTGGCGCTCCAAAATATGATGACGTCTAAGTTCATCGATTTTTTCTTGGACGAAGTTTCCGACTGGCAGAAAAAACTGTCGAACGCCGATCAAGTCATCCAAGTTTTTTTTGAAGTGCAACGTAAATGGTGTTACTTGGAGAGCATTTTTATAGGGTCTGAAGATATAAGAAGTCAGCTACCTGAAGATTCGAAGCGATTCGAAAAAATAGATAGGGATTTTAGAGAAGTTCTCAATGAAATGTTGAAAGACTTGAACGTGATACGAGCCACGAACAAACCAGGGCTTTATGATAAACTTGACGGGATTTTGTCACAGTTGATTTTGTGCGAAAAAGCATTGAATGATTATTTGGATACGAAGAGGTTGGCATTTCCACGATTCTACTTCGTGTCTTCCGCAGATTTGCTAGATATTCTTTCTAATGGAAACCAACCTGATCTGATTCAGAGACACTTAACAAAGTTATTTGACTCTTTAGCAAAACTTAAGTTCGAAAAAGACGGCGGCAAAAACACAAAAAGAGCCTTCGGAATGATATCCAAAGAAAATGAAGAGCACGTACAGTTTAGTCAAACTTGTGACTGTTCGGGGAAGGTTGAAGTCTGGTTAAATCGCGTTATAGACGTAATGAGAAAAACCCTACAAAGCTGTTTTGCCGAAGCAATATCAACCTACGACGAGAAACCAAGAGAAGTTTGGATCTACGACTATCCGGCTCAACCTGCCCTTTGCGGTATAAAAACTAATTTTGACTATTACTGTTAGAATAAACGATGATTTTCAGGTACCCAAATCTGGTGGACGACTGAAGTGAATTTAGCTTTCGCACGATTAGAAGAGGGTTACGAGAACGCTTTAAAAGACTACCAGAAAAAACAAATAAATCAGTTAAGCGCTCTCATTAATTTGCTATTGGGGGACTTAACTGCAGGTGAACGTCAGAAAATTATGACCATATGTACCATCGACGTACATGCGCGAGATGTAGTGGCGAAAATGATACAAATGAAAGTGGAAAACTCACAAGCGTTTCAATGGCAGAGTCAGTTGCGACATCGATGGGACGATAAGATTAAAGATTGTTTTGGAAACATCTGTGATGCTCAATTTAGATATCAGTATGAATATTTGGGTAATACTCCACGCTTGGTGATTACCCCTCTGACTGACAGGTGTTACATAACTTTAACACAAAGTTTACACTTGATAATGGGTGGGGCACCCGCCGGACCCGCAGGAACCGGGAAAACCGAAACCACTAAAGATCTAGGCAAAGCCTTAGGGGTGATGGTATATGTCTTTAATTGTTCAGAACAGATGGACTACAAGTCGATCGGAAACATCTATAAGGGACTTTCGCAGACGGGTTGCTGGGGATGCTTTGACGAATTTAATCGTATCTCGATCGAAGTGCTATCGGTGGTAGCGGTGCAGGTAAAAAATATCCAAGACGCTATTAAAAATAAAAAGTCAAAATTCCTTTTTTTGGGACAAGATATCGTCTTGGTACCTACGGTAAGTAAAGCGAAACATTAATCAAGTCATTTAACGTTGTCGATAGGTGGGGTTGTTCATAACTATGAATCCTGGTTACGCTGGACGAACAGAACTTCCAGAAAATTTGAAGGCTTTGTTTAGGCCGTGTGCAATGGTCGTCCCGGATTTTGCTTTAATTTGCGAAATTATGTTGGTAGCAGAGGGTTTCCAAGAAGCTCGTCTTTTGGCTAGAAAATTTATCACCTTGTATACCCTTTGCAGAGAACTGCTGAGCAAGCAAGATCACTACGACTGGGGTTTAAGGGCCATCAAATCCGTCTTAGTTGTCGCTGGGTCTTTAAAACGCGGTGACAGGCAACGACCCGAAGACCAAGTGTTAATGCGAGCGTTGCGCGACTTTAACATTCCTAAAATAGTCACCGACGATCTTCCGGTGTTTATGGGACTGATTGGAGATTTGTTTCCGGCTTTGGATGTTCCAAGGAAACGAGACGTGGATTTTGAAAAGATGATTAAGAAATCAGCGATTGATTTGAAGTTGCAACCAGAAGATGGCTTTGTTTTGAAAGTGGTACAGCTGGAAGAACTGTTTGCTGTGAGACATTCGGTTTTCGTTGTTGGTAATACAGGTACGGGAAAGACTATGGTGTGGAAAACTTTAAATAAAACTTACCACAACCAGAAGAGGAAACCGGTGTATAACGATTTGAACCCTAAAGCTGTCACTAATGATGAATTATTTGGAGTAATTAATGCGGCGACCAGAGAGTGGAAGGATGGTCTTTTTTCGGTTATTATGAGAGATCAGGCTAACATGACTGGAGATGGACCTAAATGGATAGTTCTGGATGGTGATATTGATCCGATGTGGATCGAATCCCTGAATACTCTGATGGACGATAATAAGGTTCTTACTCTTGCTAGTAACGAACGTATTGCTTTGACACCAATGATGAGACTGTTATTCGAAATTGCGTCACTAAGGACGGCGACTCCGGCTACTGTTTCTAGGGCTGGTATTCTATACATAAATCCGGCCGATTTAGGGTGGAATCCGTTCGTAGCTTCTTGGATTGATACCAGAACGCAACAAAACGAAAAAGCAAATCTTATTATTCTTTTTGACAAATACGTACCACCATGTCTTGAAATATTGCGTCATAAGTTGAAAAAAATCACACCCATATCCGAAATAGCTCACCTGGCAATGTTGTGCCACCTTTTAGACTGCTTTTTAACTCCACAAAACGTGCCCCCGGATTGTCCGAAAGAATGGTACGAAATTTATTTTGTGTTTTGTACTGTTTGGGCGTTTGGATCTGCCTTGTTTCAAGATCAGATAGTAGATTGGCGCAATGAATTCAGCAAATGGTTTATTAACGAATTTAAAACTATTAAATTTCCAGTTACCGGAGGAAATGTTTTCAGTTATTATATAGAAGAAGAAAATAAAAGATTTGTTCCATGGATCGAGCTAGTACCTGAATTTGAACTCGATACAGACATACCTCTACAAGCGACGTTGGTCAATACCCCCGAAACAACAAGAATACGATTTTTTATGGACTTGTTGATGGGTAAGAGGATTCCTGTGATGCTAGTAGGTTCTGCTGGAAGTGGGAAAAGCGTAATCGTTGCCGACAAGCTTCAGAATCTCTCCGAGAGTTACGCTGTTACAAACGTGCCGTTCAACTTTTACACAACTTCGGAAATGTTGCAAAGGATTTTGGAAAAACCTTTGGAAAAGAAAGCAGGTAGAGTATTTGGTCCGCCTGGAAGTAAGACCATGATTTATTTTATTGATGATTTAAATATGCCAGAAGTGGACAAATACTTCACTGTACAACCTCACACTTTGATTAGACAGTATATGGATTACCAGCACTGGTACGACAGACAAAAACTTACATTGAAAGACATCCACAACGTTCAGTTTGTTTCTTGCATGAATCCGACAGCCGGATCATTTACCATCAATCCTAGACTACAAAGGCATTTCTGTACTTTTGCTGTAAGTTTTCCATCAACTGACGCGTCAATCCAAATTTATCATAGCATTATCAGTCAACACCTTGAAGCCGAACAAAACAAATTTAACCGATCTATTCCGAAGTATTGCGAGAGCTTAGTAAACGCAGCGGTGTTTTTGCACCAGAAAGTCGCAACTACTTTTCTTCCGACTGCTATTAAATTTCATTACACATTTACTCTGAGAGACTTGTCGAATATCTTTCAAGGTATGTTGTTCAGCACTGGAGACGCTATTAAAACTCAAACTGATTTAATGAGGCTCTGGATCCACGAATCTAACAGGGTATACGGAGACAAATTAGTAGAAAAGCGGGACTTGGATACATACAAGAAGCTTGTTATCGACTCGGTTAAAAAAAATTTTGAAGAGTTTAACGAAAACGAAGTGTTTGAGGAACCTTTGATTTTTTGTCACTTCGCTGAAGGTATGGGAGATCCGAAATATTTTCAAATTCAAGAATTCCAGCATTTAAGTAAACTTCTTCAGGAAGCATTAGATGGTTACAATGATTTAGTGATGGCAATGAATTTGGTCCTGTTTGAAGATGCAATGTATCATATCTGTCGTATTAATAGAATAATGGAAGCTCCTAGGGGCAATGCGTTGCTCATTGGAGTTGGTGGTTCTGGTAAACAGTCTCTGACAAGACTTGCCGCTTTTATATCGTCTTTTGAAGTTTTTCAAGTTCAGTTAAAGAAAGGATATGCCATTGCTGATCTTAAAGCAGATTTGGCTACGTTGTATTTGAAAGCAGGTTTGAAGAGTGTTGGTATTGTCTTTTTAATGACTGATGCCCAGGTTCCTGAGGAAATTTTTTTGGTGGCTATTAATGACATGCTAGCTTCTGGAGAAATCAGTGAGTTATTGCCAGACGAAGACGTCGAAAACGTTATCAGTGCGCTTAGAACCGAAGTGAAAAGTACTGGAGTCCAAGACACCAGAGAAAACTGTTGGAAATTTTTTATCGACAGAGTCAGAAGGTTGTTAAAAACAGTATTGTGCTTCTCACCTGTCGGTTCTACTTTAAGAGTGCGCTCAAGAAAATTTCCAGCACTCGTAAACTGTACATCCATAGATTGGTTTCATGAATGGCCTCGAGAGGCTTTAGAGTCTGTGTCTAAGCGATTTTTGGCGGAAATTGAAGTCCTTCCAGAAGATCTAGTAATATCAGTTTCAACTTTCATGTCCGACGTACACGAAAGTGTGAATAAAATGTCTGAAATGTACTTACAAAACGAAAAACGTTACAATTATACGACTCCTAAGTCATTCTTGGAGCAAATAGCCTTGTATGGAAAACTTTTATCGGAAAAGACCAAAGCTTTGGAAGATAATATCGAGCGCTTGGAATCTGGCTTACTTAAATTAGCTTCTACTTCTGAAGAAGTTGACGGGTTAAAGGAGGTACTAGCGGTTCAAGAAGTCGAATTGAACGTAAAGAACGAGGCAGCTGGAAAGTTGATTGCTGTTCTCAGTGCCGAAAACGAAAAAGTCGCGAAAGAACAAGCCGTTGCTAGTGAGGAAGAAGCCAAAGTAAAAGTGATTGAAGAAGACGTTAGCGTAAAACAGAAGATTTGTGCTGACGATTTAGCAAAAGCTGAACCAGCTTTAATAGCAGCCCAACACGCTTTAAATACCTTAAATAAAAATAATTTAACAGAACTTAAATCTTTCACTCAACCACCGGAAGCGGTAGTTACTGTGGTAAGTGCAGTGCTGATTCTATTTTCAACGAAAGGTAAAATACCCAAAGATCGTAGCTGGAAAGCCTGTAAAGGAATGATGACAAGAGTAGATAAGTTTTTGGAAGACTTAATTCACTACGACAAAGAGAATATGCACCCTGATATAGTTAAAGCTACCCTGGAATTGACCAAACATCCAGAATTTAATCCAGACAAAATTTTGAGCAAATCTATCGCTGCAGCGGGACTGTGTGCTTGGGTTATCAATATTTTGAAATTCTACGATGTTTTTGTGGTTGTTGAACCGAAAAGAAAGGCACTGCAAAAAGCAAACCAAGACCTGTCAGAAGCAAGAGCTAAACTTGCTGAATTGAATGATAAACTGAATTACTTGGAAGCACAACTGGCCGTTTTGAAAGCAGAATTCGACGAGGCCATAGCTGCTAAAATGAAGTGTCAGGCTGAAGCAGACGCGACTACTCGAATGATAGATTTAGCCAACCGGTTGGTTAACGGTCTTGCGTCGGAAAATATTCGTTGGAGAGAACTCGTGAAACTTTACAGGCAGTTAATAAAGACTTTACCGGGAGATGTCTTAATGATAACATGTTTCATTTCTTACGTCGGATGCTTCACTAGAAGATACCGGGCCGAACTAGTCGATAAGTATTGGGCGCCGCGTCTGAAAAATATCGAGCCAAAAATTCCGATGACTGATGGTTTAGATCCTCTGTCACTCCTTACAGACGACGCCATGGTAGCACAGTGGAACAATGAAGGACTACCCAATGACCGCATGTCAACAGAGAATGCTTGTATTTTGACGAATTCTGCACGTTGGCCATTGATGATTGACCCTCAGCTACAAGGGATTAAGTGGATTAAAACAAAATACGGAGACACTTTGACTGTTATTAGACTGAATATGAAAAATTATTTAGATACTATTGAGAGGTGTGTTAGCGATGGAGAGGTCATTTTAGTAGAAAACATCGGAGAAACTATTGACGCAGTTTTGGATAATATTCTTGGAAGAGTGTTAATAAAAAAAGGCAAAGCCATTAAAATTGGGGACAAAGACATTGATTACAATCCTAACTTCAAAATGATTTTGCAAACGAAATTAGCGAATCCTCATTATAAACCAGAAATACAGGCCCAAACGACTCTGATTAATTTCACAGTAACACGAGATGGATTAGAAGAGCAGCTCTTAGCCGAAGTCGTCAAAGTAGAACGTCCGGATCTAGAATCCTTAAAATCGTCATTGACCAAACAACAGAACGACTTTAAAATAATTTTGAAAAAATGTGAGGATAATTTATTGTATCGTTTATCGTCAGCCACCGGCAATATCTTAGGAGATGTCGAACTGGTAGAAAACTTAGAAACCACAAAGAAAATGTCCACCGAGATTGAAGAAAAAGTGAAAGAAGCTAAAGTAACTTCCGTTCAAATTGACGAGGCACGTGAACAGTACAGACCATGTTCTGCGAGAGCATCTCTTCTGTATTTTATTCTCAACGACTTATGCCGCATTAACGCGATATACCAGTTTTCGCTAAAAGCTTTTAGTGTGGTGTTTAAGGACGCTTTGGCCAAAGCAAAACCTGCAGAGAAGCTGAAAGAACGAGTCGTTAATTTACTCGATAACATAACTTTCTCCGTTTTTATGTACACCACTCGAGGTCTTTTTGAATGTGATAAACTCACCTTTATGGCACAGATGGCATTCCAAATTTTACTTCATTCAGACGAAATTGATCACGAGGAGCTGGATTATTTGTTGCGATACCCAGTGGTGCCAAATCTGACATCGCCAGTTGATTTTTTAACGAATCAGTCGTGGGGAGGAATCAAGGCACTAGCGGAGTTCGAGGAGTTCAGAGGTTTAGACAAAGACTTGGAGGGATCAGCGAAACGTTGGCGAAAATTTGTGGACAGCGAATGTCCAGAAAAAGAAAAGTTTCCTGGCGAGTGGAAAAATAAAACGTCACTACAACACTTATGCATGATGCGAGCCCTAAGACCGGATAGAATGACATATGCTGTGCGTGTTTTCATAGAAGAAAAACTTGGTTCTAAATATATCACGGCTAGAAGTGTGGAATTTGAAAAATCGTACGAAGAAACGAGTTCGTCAACGCCGGTGTTTTTTATCTTGTCACCTGGAGTTAATCCTTTGAAAGATGTAGAGAAGCAAGGAAAAAAGCTGGGTTTTACTTTGGATCAAGGGAATTTTCATAGCGTGTCACTAGGACAAGGGCAAGAAATAGTGGCCGAAAATGCTTTGGACCTGGCGGCGGAGAGAGGCGATTGGGTGATTTTGCAAAATATTCATCTAATACAGAGATGGTTGGCTAGTCTAGAAAAGAAGATGGAATACTGTGCAGAGTTTGCTCACCCGAGTTTCAGGTTATATTTAAGTGCTGAGCCGGATGCCGACCCTTTAGTTTCTGTGATTCCACAAGGGATATTAGAGTCATCGATCAAAATTACGAACGAGCCACCGACGGGAATGTATGCTAATTTACACAAAGCTTTGGATAATTTCAATCAGGAAACGCTAGAAATGTCTACTAAAGAAGCCGAGTTTAAAGCTTTCTTGTTTGCTCTGTGCTACTTTCATGCAGTGGTGGCTGAACGAAGAAAATTTGGTGCCCAAGGATGGAACAGGAATTATCCTTTCAATGTTGGCGATTTAACAATCAGCGTCAATGTCTTGTTCAACTATCTGGAGACAAATAATAAGGTAAAGTTAGAGTTTCTCGTATCTGAAGAATAACGTGTCGTATGATTTTAGATTCCGTATGAAGATTTGCGCTATCTGTTTGGAGAAATCATGTACGGGGGCCACATTACTGATGACTGGGACAGGCGCCTATGTCGCACTTATTTAATAGAATATATGCAACCGGAATTACTAGAGGGTGACCTACAATTTGCCCCAGGATTTTACGCTCCACCTAATATCGACTACATCGGTTTTCACCGATACATCGACGACCGATTACCAACTGAAAGTCCTTACTTGTACGGTCTTCACCCGAATGCAGAAATCGGGTTTCTGGCACAGATCTCAGAGAAAATGTTTCGAACCATCTTTGAGCTGCAACCTCGAGATACGGGAGCTCAGGCCGGAGCTGCATTTTCCAAAGAAGACAAGGTAAAGTCAACAAAAACACTTCCATTTCAAACATTTAGTTTATAGGTGAGAGGCATACTTGAAGACATCTTAGATCGGCTTCAAGATGAATTCCCAGTTGCTGAAATGTTAGCCAAAGTTGAAGATAGGACACCGTACATAATAGTAGCGTTCCAAGAATGCGATCGCATGAATACGCTAACCCGAGAAATGAAAAGATCGTTAAGAGAACTCGATTTGGGTTTAAAGGGTGAATTAACCATCAGTTCTGACATGGAAATTCTACAAGAATCGTTATTCATGGATAACGTGCCGGACACCTGGTCCGTAAAGGCGTATCCTAGCATGCTACCACTAGGACAATGGGTTGGTGATTTGGGTGCGCGGATCAAGGAACTGGAAAATTGGGTGACAGATTTTTCGATGCCACCTGCGATTTGGCTGGGCGGATTTTTCAACCCTCAGTCTTTTCTTACAGCTATTATGCAGCAAACTGCGAGGAAGAACGAGTGGCCTTTGGATAGAATGTGTCTTTTGACTGATGTGACTAAGAAAACTAAAGACGAGTTCAACGCTGCACCTCGAGAAGGTGCCTATGTTCATGGTCTGTTTATGGAAGGAGCTAGGTTAGTAATTTAATTAAATTTGTGTTTTCTTGGTCTAAATGAGGAATAGTGTTTAATTTCATAATGGGTCACCCTTGGCTACGATCCTGACAGATTAGCAAGAGTTTACTATAATTAACCAAATTTAATTCAGTGTTAAGACGTTCCTCTTACTTTAGTGCACGTTTTAAATTATGGAACAAGTTACGAACTAAATTTTACGTGAATTGTTTGTTAAATTCGGTTGAATGAATATTATAGAATACAAATTATATACAGGGTTAGTCACGAGAGAATTACTTCTGAAAATTATTTTTACGCAACCCAAAATACTAATACCCTGTACCACTTGATATTATCTAAATTTAAAATGAAATGCCTAATCCATGATTGCTTTGACTTTGGCATTGTCACTTTGACGTTAATTAATTTTTAACATTTTTTTTTTCATCGTTGACTCGTCTCTAGAGCCCCACTGGATCGACGACATACCGTCAGATCAATCTGGGCTATACTGAAGCCGTAAGTGCTCTACCAATGTTGTTCGCCGCTAATGTGCATGTGTTAATTCGCCATCTCTGCGTCACCTAGAGCCTCTTCGAAGTGCAAATCTGCAACCTCTGGACTTCTTCGGCCATCCATTTACAAAAAAGCCGTAGCATCCCCCCAAAATGCCCAACATTTTCAACAGATTAGTAGTTAAATTATTTACTTACTTGTTTGAGTTTGTTTTAACCTTTGAATAAAATGCCGTAAAAGGAATTTTCCGAAATAATTTTCTCGTGATTAATCGGTTGCAAAGGATCAAGAGGCACACTGACAAATTTATTAGCGCCGCCGGAGGAGATTTCCGACTGGCTGCGGTACCACCATGGACACTCGCGTAACCTCCTTTTCCACAATTGTCAAAATGAGATTGCCAAACTCAAAGCAATCATGGATTAAGCATTTCATTTTAAATTCAGTTAGTATCAAATGGTACATGGTATTCGTATTTTGGGTTGCGTAAAAATAATTTTCAGAAGTAATTCTCTCGTGACTAACCCTATATAATTTCAATTCGCTGGAACAAGTTCTAAAAGCTGAATTGCGGTCGATACATCTGTTGTGGAATAAAAACTTAGACTAAACACGTGTGTTGATATTATTTGTACTAAGTAATTTTGGTTTACTTTGTTACAGGTGGGATATCCAGCTCGGTAGCATCGCGGATGCCAAACTTAAAGATTTATTCCCGGTAATGCCGGTCATCTTCATTAAAGCTATAACGCAGGATAAACAGGACTTGAGAAATATGTATGACTGTCCTGTTTACAAGACTCGATCGCGAGGACCGACTTTTGTGTGGACTTTTAATCTGAAAACAAAGGAAAAAGCTTCCAAGTGGACACTTGCAGGTGTAGCAATCTTGCTGCAGATTTAGTCTTTGATTGTTATGTTGTAATTCAAATGTTATTTTTGTTAATAGAGATGTTGAATTTAAGTTCTTGGTCGTTATTGAGATCTGGTTTACAATGAAGCATCTTGTTTGGATGCAAAGTTGTGATGAGATGTGTACGAGTGTGAAGTCAAAAATTTGTCTTAAAAATGTACTTTTTTGATTCATAAATTAGCTTTGAATGTGTGTAAACTGGAAACGAGTTTGCCGCTACTTAACCAATTGTTCTTAATTCTAAAAACACATTAGTGAAAACGTACGTCCTTATGCAAAATTCCTAATGCAATTAATCTGATCTACATACCTATGTAGGGTGATTCGGCCTAAATGACGAAGTGATTTGTGGTTAGCGGCAACCCAAAATACATAATTCATTAATTCCTTGATTCACACTAGAATTTCAAAAATATTACAAATCTAGGAAGTAGGAAGTCTGATTTTAAAAATGTCAAAAAAGTGCCACTGTCACGTGTAAGTTAGCTTCTTGCCAAGAGAATATCATTTTGACATGTTTGTTTTAAAATTTCCTTTTGATTGACATTTTGAAGAACAATTTATAGTGCTAAAATACCGATAGTAGGTACATAGTCTTTTAATTAGATGTGTGTATAATTAATTATCATGCCAGAAACTGTTTGTTTATTTATCGCAAGTTGCATAATCGGTGTATCCACATTTGTGTGATCAACCCGAAATCTCGAAGACTACAGGGCGTGAAAATGAACGTTTTGTTGAAGCCGTTTTTTAATTTATCCTTAATTAAAAATTTCGTACTTTTGAGTCAACTTTAGCTCGATTTAGAAGATTGGTCGCAAAGAACAAACATCAAAAGGTCATTCAATTTCCTTGTCGCTTTTTTCAGTTATTTGTTTGTACTAAAGATGGGACTGAAATGGGAACGAAGAAAACGAAATTTCATTAATATGATCGTGAATAAGTTGGTCACGAATCGAGATCCCCGAAATTATTCAGTCTACACATAAATCTGTACAATTTTTGTGATCTTACGCTTCATTATTGGATTCGTTATACAAGCGAAATCATGTTTGTCAAGCGAATTACGACCCCCCGGTGTCGCCCCTTCTGTGAACAAAATGGCGTCACCTGTCCACTTTTCTCTAAAAAAATGCTTCTTGGGGACGCCGTAATGGAATAAATTGTCGGTGTCTCGGCATACTCTCGGAAGCGTTTAGTTGATCGAATTTCCTAATGAAATCAATTATTAAGATGAGGTGTTGTTCGCGGCGCGAAACTTCTGGATGGTATTCGAATTCCGTTCCATATTTATGGGCGCGACGCCTTGCATCGTCCGAAAGCGCACATCCCTCACTGTATTCGCTCGGGAGTTGTGCGTACATTGTTAATTCAACGATATAATACGCGAATTTGCCTACAAATTACCAACTACCCCTCTAGTAACGCTTAAATACGTTAGTTTCCACTAGAAATGTTACCGACTAAATTGCACAAGCTGCTGATTTATCGGTTTTTCACCCCGGTGCAATTTTCTTCGGGATCTGGATGCATATTTTAGCAAATAATAAATTTATGTGACGGTTTAGCACCAGTTTTTTTCGTGTTGGGTTACGGGCATTAAAAAATATGTAGTTGGGAAAATCGCTATATTTTTCTAAATTTTAAACGCTTAAAATATTATCGCCATAATTTGCTGCTACGTTGAACAGATCACACATTAAGTGAACAGCTGGAGATTTACGCAAATGTTGGTTCTATTATTTCCTGAACAATAAAACAAAGCGTGTACTTACTACTTAGTCGACAGTCTTGAGGTATTCAAGTTTACCAAACTAAGTACTTATTATAGGACAATCGACCTTATTGTTCCGCAGGTTGATCAAGGTTTTGACAACACAAATAATCCTTCTAGTTTTCAAAGAAACGAAATTAAACCTGTTTGATAACTTTAAATGGAGGATATACCTCATCTAAAATGCGAGACAGAAATTTTAACAATTTTCGCTGTATCGATTCGAAGTTGGCAATGTACACAGAGTACCAAAAAATAGCACCATATTCCAGACACGATCTTACTAAACTAACTTATAAAGTGCGTAGCGTGCGAACATTACAGACCTCCCTACGATTTCTATATACCTTAGTACTAAAATAATGCAAATCTTTAGAGACAAATAAAACTTTCGTATTTTGTTTTAAATAGGTAGCTTGTAATTTTTCATCAGCAAGAAACGTAACATGTTATCGACAAGTTTTCAATCTAGATTTATTTGTACTGTGAGCTCACATGGGGTATTTTCTTTTAAGAAACTTCTGCACACTTGTTGTCTAACTTTTATGTGCAGTTCCCTTATCGACTCTTTCAGCAGATTTTTTTACAACTGCAAATTATAACCGCCACACTAAAAATGTTTTGGATGATGTCCCAGATAGCCGTATGTACATACTACTACTCTACAAGAGGGTTAGTTTATACAACTAGTTAATCATTTTTCTTTTATTAGAATTACCTTTTATTCTTTCGCACGGCTTACTTCCTATAATGTAGAAATTTGTATAATTTGTGCGTTGTAGCAACACGATAATAGTATTTATTATTTTGGCATTCTCGTGATGTTTACGTGGCAATCACGTTTGTTTGCAATTTGCATAAAATATGCACTGAGTTTATGTGTGTTCGTGCTCGGCAGTCTACCATGATCATATGTTGTTTGTTCGCCCGCAATAGAAAGTTGAGTAATAATTGTGATTTATTTCTTACACATCCAAAATACTATATTTCTCTTGAGGATTATTATCAGTAGTAATGACGTCATTTGTCAGTTCGTCCATTCCAAAACTGTGATGTCACTCCAAGTTTTTTACATTTTGCTTGAAATTTATAGAGCGGGGTTTTCCGTTATATCTTTGAAAATTAGAGTTGATTAATAAATGCTGTCAATAATCGCTAAATTATGCAACCAAGTATACACCTTATCTCATTCCAGTTCTCTGTTCCATTGTGCCATTTGAAAGTCCGAAATTGACAGATTATAATCAAACCAAAACGATAAATATGTTTATGCGAAGGAAATTATTTAAGTTGCCAATACATTTTAGAGAGAAACAACAAAATTTTATTAAAAGAAACTTCAGTAAAACAATTCTTACGTTAATCTTCATCATCTTTATTAAAATTACTAACTGACCCCGTGAACTTCGTTTCATCTACAACTTAATTTTGAATCTCCAAACCGAATGCTTTGAAATCTTGCAGATGTTTTAAACATCTGATAAGCATAATAGATTTTTATTCAAAATAATACTTACTTCCTGCAAAAAATTGATGACGTCAGCCCAAAATTTTGCCAAATGAATCCTTTTTAAAATATCCAAAATAGGATGAGACTATATTTGTGATTTATCACTCCATTCATATTTTTTAGTTTTGCTTATAGGGGGGGGGGGGGTGTCTCACTGCGTCAGTTTATTTTATTGATTGAATCAAGAATTGCAAAACTAAGTTTTTAGATTTATTGCAGACGTTTTGAAGTTACTGTTTGACATGGTACGTTTTTAATTAAAATATATCTGTTTATCAAACCCAAAAACTTGATGACGTCATCTCAAGATTTTGCCGAATAAATCCTATTTAAAATGTGCAAAATATCATCAGTATATTTTCGTAAATTTATCATTGCATTCATATTTTTTAGATTTGCTTTTACAGTGACAAAAAAATGTATGGATCAGTCAATTTATTTTAGAAAATAACTCAAGAGTTGCAGAAATGACATAATTAATATAATTCATAATGTTTAAATATGATAACTATTAATATGTGATAATTAAACCGAAAACCATTTTCCTAAGAACACGAGGTTAGCAAAAACAAATTAGTTTGTTTAAACATTGTTAAATTAACCCCGAACATGTACAATTTCTGAGCGAAAATATGAAAAATAATTTTTGCAATCTCATCGTGACGTACCATGACGCCACTGTCACGTGAGCCACCTGATAAAAGGTCACATTTTTCGGTCCTCTGCGTTTAGTTTTGATTTCGGTTTGGTGGCAGCAACATCAGAGTCCGTTTTAGCTTAAAAGTAGGGCTCTTTTCACGAATTTCTAATTTATATATTTAAATATTAGTGAAAATGTGTTGTATTAGTACTGTGAACACGAACGAAAATGGATATTTTTTCGAAAAAGACCGAAAACAGGGTAAGTTCGAGTTCAGTTTTAATTTATCGGATTCCGTGATTCGTTCACTCGACAATATTTAAATTTTGGGAAAATTTTCGAAACGATTGAAATCGGTTGATCAAAGCTATACATTTTCACGACATAAATAAATAAATTTTAAACATAATTAATATCATTTATAATGTTTAAATAATTAAATATGATAAGCATCAATGTATGATAATTAAACCGAAACCCGTTGTCCTACAAGCCCGAAATTATTAAAAACAAATCAATTTGTTTAAACAATGTTAAATTATCCCCGAAAATGTGCATTTTCCCGGCCAAAATATGAAAAATAAATTTTGCAATCTCATCGTGACGTACGATGACGTCAATGTCACCTGAGCTACTTGTATAAAGGTCACGTGTTTCGGTCCTTTGTGTTCAGTTTTAATTTCTGTTTGATGGCGGCAAGATCGTCGCTTCATTTCGGCGTAAAAGTGGAGCGTTTTAGCGAATTTCTAGTTTATTATTAATACATATTACGGAAAATATGTTGTGTTAGTGCTGTGAACACGAACGAAAATGGATATTTTTCCGAAAAGGACCGAAAACAGGGTAAGTACGACTTCAGTTTTAATTTATCGGATTCCGTGATTCGTTTGGTCGACAATGTTTACATTTTGGATAAATTTTCGAAACGATTGAAGTTGGTGGGTCAAAGCTATACATTTTCGCGATATAATTAAATAAAATTTAAACATAATTAATACAATTCATAATGTTCAAATATGATAACTATCAATATATGATAATTAAACCGAAATCCGTTTTCCTAAGAA